AAGAAACGCGCATGCGCAGGACGTAGCCACGCCCCTGAATCAGCCCCCTGGGGACACGCCCTCTCTCTTTCGATCCTCCAATCTTTCACTGTTTATACTGCGCCTCGTATTGCCTTATATGCCCATACCCTGACCGTACTATATAGGAGCGGCCGAGCCTGCCAGCAGTGTGTAGTTTCGCCCACACGCCCCGTGTAGAGTGCTCGAGTGACGAGATCCTGCCGAGCCAAGATAACGTCATAACGTGTACGTTGCCTCGGGGAAGGCTCGCGGGCAGAAGAGAAGGCTAAGCTCTCGACCTCTCTGCTAAGTCTAGTGAGGTGAGGGCATATATACCTAAGCGTGGAAATTTGGTAAATGAGCTGCTGAGCTATCCGCCGTTCCTCATTATTCAGCCTGCGGTGTGGCAGGCTCGTCCTGTTTCGTGTTCGCGGGCCTAACGCCGGTGCTAGGTGGTGACAATGTGTGTTTTAGCTACAGTGTAATGTAACGTGTTTGAAAGGGAGGGGAAATAGTACATTGTGCCTGTGCAAACGTACATCTAGGAGATATCCAAGCAACTGAGGGTAAATTTCTCTAGAGGGTAAGAGGGAGGAAGGTGTGAAGGAAGGGAGAGAGATTCTGAACAGGGAGAGAAAAGAGAGAGTCCAGTATTATTAACGTTGTGTATTGTACATAATGTGGTAGCAAGTATGGATCAAGGTAAGAGATGTAAGTCTGCCAAAGGCTAGAGTCAAGTAGTGCTAAGAAGTCAACACAAGGTAGTAATTAAGTGTCATTAGCAACTGCTAAGTACATCTTCATCCTGTTTGGTATTTAATTAATCAGGGAAATGTCATGTGATATCGCCACGAAAATCACATGACATGGACGGCCCGAAAAATTATTTAACCCAAATAAGGCTACAGAGCGTGAACCAAGGTTTAGCCTTCGGAGTTGGCTGCGAAGTTTAACCTTTTGCTGACTAAGTTTTCTGTTGACATTATTATGACCACATCCCCTAATACATTCCTGAGTGAGCAGTATCCTAACGATGAGCATCTGGACACCTGCTCTTCACTACCATTCCCTATGTACAGTGGAACCCCTCTAATCCAGACACCAATGGGACAGAAGAAAGTGTCCATATTAGAGAGGTGTCCTTAATTCAGGAGTTGAATTGCATGCAAGAACTGTTCTTGGGGAAAGAAAGGTGTCTTATAGAAGGTGCCCATCAGGGGGGTCCTATAGAGGTCCCCATTTCAGGGGGTCCTTATTAGAGGGGTGTTCAGGGGTGTCCTTATTAGAGAGGTCTCATTTCAGGGGTTCCTCTAGGGGTCACTCTACGTAGCACGGTGGTATAATGAACACACTGTATAGAGAATAGAGTGTTCTTCAAGTCCCACCCACGGCAGCTCTTTCTTCTTTAGAAAAAACAAGTGTTGCAATACATCATAGGTGCTGTTTAATTGTTTGCTCTGCACTTCGTATAATATATCAGATTGATACGTAGCTAGGTAACTCACCGGCTGTAGGTTTGAGATGATAATCGGAGGTGAAGTATGTAGTGTGGCACTTTCTCTCTGTCCCATGGACCTCATATGAGGGGTTCCACTGTATAATTTCTCTCTGTTGATGTAGTAGTACGAGGTATGTGTGTGTCTATGGACATGTATGGCTAAAGTAAAGGCAGAGTCAACACGTGTCAGTGATTACAGAGAGCCTGTCTAAACAGAGACATAGTTCCAGGGCTGAACTACACCATCTCTCTCTCCCGCTCTTTCTCCCTAAACCAGAGTTTACTAGCCCTCAAAATGCTTTATAATTATTTTGAAATAAACTGTTGGCTGGTAACTCGTAACGACGCTCAATCCATGCATATTGTCATAGTATACGTTTCCCACCTTGTGTATGTAGCATTGATGGTGAAAATGAAATGGTGTTTTTATATTTGCCATAGCAGGAGGTGATTCGACGGCTTCTGCAACATCTGTCACTCCAGGTTGCTCGGAGACGGTGTGGTTGCCATGGGAAACCTGTTACGAGTGCTAAACGACAGGGGCTCCGTCCCAAAAGTGGATTTCTTTGTCGATTTCGAGAGTAAGTTGCCAGCACTCCTACAGAGTGTATATCTCTTTGGCTGATGTGGTGTTAGGCATCACTCACTCTGCTGTCTATTTACTGGGTAATAATTATGGTGAGTGTTGTTTTCCCTGCTCTTTGGCTGTGATCTCCAACATTACCAGATACCAACGTAACACATTGGCCTTTTGTGGTCATTTCCTCCCAGTTTCCAGGTCTCTATCTCACCATTCGTGCATTGTTTGGTGTGTGAGGGACTGTTTATACTGACATGGGGAGATGGTGTTCATGTTTTATAACAGTCTTATTCTCTCACTCTCTCTCTCCACCCTTTCTCTGTACATATACTAGCATGTGTGTACTCTTTCCCCATGTCCTACTCTCCCTCTCTCTTTCCTTCTCTCACTCTCTCTCTCCACCCTTTCTCTGTACATATACTAGCATGTGTGTACTCTTTCCCCATGTCCTACTCTCCCTCTCTCTTTCCTTCTCTCACTCTCTCTCTCCACCCTTTCTCTGTACATATACTAGCATGTGTGTACTCTTTTCCCCATGTCCTACTCTCCCTCTCTCTTTCCTTTCTCTCTCCCTCTCTCTCTCCACCCTTTCTCTGTACATATACTAGCATGTGTGTACTCTTTCCCCATGTCCTACTCCCTCTCTGTCTTTCCTTCTCTCCCTCTCTCTTCCCCAATGTCCTACTCTCCCTCTCTCTTTCCTTCTCTCACTCTTTATCTTGTGTGTATGTGGCTGCAAAACATTGTGTTCTCTTAGTTAGAGATGGTGTCACCATTATGTTTATTTTGTGTATCTACCTGGATGCTGTTTACTGCAATGCTGCTAGCGTTCAAAATCATTTCTCCCTCCCTCCTTCCCTCCCTCCCTCTCTCGTCTCGTCTCGTCTCTTCTCCAGCTGCAGAGCCGACTCCAGAGGAGGGAGAAGTCCACAGGAAGGTTGCCACGGTCCTCGACAGAGCCCCCGACATTCTTGCTGATCTCCATGGTTACAAGGGAGCAGGGGAGCACATCAGAGAGGTCAGTAACTGTCATTTGTCTCTTGAGGAGGGAATTTCTTACTTACTGCATGTGAATGCAAGGTCGTGTATACACTAGTTTGTAGTGGAAACTGGGTGGAACAAAATGAGATGAATTTCATCTCAAAAACCTCAGAAATACGTATGTTGATCCTTGCATCTGGCAGACCGAAGGGATATTAACCCCTTTGCTTTCTCCCTGGTAGGCCAAGGTGAAAAGATGTTTTGCAGGAACCCATGAACTAATTCTTGTGTTAACCCCTTTCTCCCCGGCAGGCCATCAGTAACTCAAAGAGTGAGAAGCACCAGGACGTGGCGTGGAAGGCCGTTTGTCCGTCTGTCATTCTTCTGAAGAAGTTCTACGAGTTTGCTCTGGAGCTGGAGACCGCTCTGTGTGACCTGCTGACCGTTCTGTGCAGCCCGGACATGCCTGCCATCCAGCATCTGGAGAAACAACAGGTTTGGAGGGAGGGAGGAGGGAGGGAGGGAGGAGGGAGGAGGAAGAGAAGGAGGGAGGGAGGAGAGATGTGGAAACAGTGGGAGGGAAAAGGACAAAGCCAGGAAAAGGACAAAGCCAGGAAAAAAGCAGTAGAGTTCACTTACATGTACACCACCCCCTCTCTGAATAGAGGTCCTATTTCACAGTTGGAGAATTGTTAAGAACATTGTATAGCCGAAAAACTTTACGTTTCTCAAAAAGTTTCCTGGACAGATGGATGTTAAAAACATTTTCCCCACATGCAGGCCATCACGAAGCAGTTTGCAGAAATCCTTCACTTTACTCTCTCTTTTGATGACCTCAAGGTACATATAATTATACAGCAACACTATACACACTGTACTCTGTATGTATAATATGTACATGTACGTAATGTATGCAAATACTACGACACTGTTGTATGTATGTATAGTACATCTATTTATGCAACGCACACTACAACAGTGAGCGAAGGAACATACATACATACATCATTATGTACATAGCTCTCCTGTGAATGTTGTAACTTGGGTACATGTTGAAGTGTTCTAGAGCTAGCAGAGAGTGGTGACTCAGCATCCGATTGCTACACCAGCTGCAAGTGCTGTGTATTGGCATGTGTTCCTCCTGATCTCACAGATGACAAGTCCAGCCATCCAGAACGACTTCTCCTACTACCGCAGAACACTCAACAGAAGAAGAATGGTGCGTGACTATCATGTGAGATCACATGAGTGTCATGTGACATCACACACACTTTAATAAAATTTGGTGCCAACATACCCGAGATTAGAAAGATCCACCCATTTAGTTTTACTATGTAGCTTTGTCACGTGACTCTAGCTAGTCTCACATGATTGTCACATGACCTGCAGGAGGACACGAGTGCAGCGGTGGCAGAGTTGAGTGATGGGGTGGACCTGCCGGACGACGTGGCCAACAGGATGTCCCTGTTCTATGCCAACCCAACTCCCATGCTCAACACACTCAGTGGAGCCGCTGAGAAACTGCTACAGGAGGTGGGCTCTTTTTAGAGTTGCTTCATACTATTCTTGGATCTCGTCTCCCTGTTCTTTTCTTCTTTTCCTTTTCTTATCTGACTGTCCTCGCCCTACGTATCTTGCTTTAGTATCTCGCTGTATAATATGTATTATACCCCAATTCTAGTGAGTCTGTTAGTATTGTAGGTGAGTCCTCTCTCCCCTCCCTCCCTCCCAGAATCCGTCTCTGACACTGGACAACATGACCAACTGCTTCTCAGCCATGGCGTCAGTCTGTCGGGTCATCAGTGACAATCCGTGAGTCACATGACATGTCACATGACTAGCAAGTAACAACAAGATTTGTCTGCTCTCTCTGGCCATTACTATTCGTTTAACAACTTAGTCTAAGTAGAGAAAAAGAGGCTTACAGCTAAACTCTCTCTCTCTCTCCTTCCCTCCAATTCTCAGTCAATACACGTCCAGGTTCCAGAGTGAAGAGACTCAGTTGTTTTGTCTGAGGGTCATGGTGGGAGTCATCATACTCTATGATCACGTCCACCCTGTTGGGGCCTTTGCTGTCAAGGCCGCCATTGATGTAAGGAGGGACGAGGGAGAGAGTATATAGGAAACTGTGATTGATGTGAACAAAAACATGGCAGTTAGCAAGTTTGAGGAGTGAAGAAGCATTTTTAAAGAAAAGTGCCTGAGGCTATTTTTTGTCGTGGTTGTCATGGAAACAATGTAATACTCATGCTCACAAAGTTTCACCTGGGAGCAAGAGATGATAATAGTGATATCTAGGGTGTTTTGGCCATGCTAGAAAACAATATCAATGCCCACGTTGCATGGTCTAAAATCATTGGGCAATGTGGTGTTTTTCTGGCCATCATTTCGCTGTGATGTCATTCTCTTTTTAGATGAAGTCGTCGATAAAACTGATAAAGGAACATCCGAAGACAGCAGAATCACTGCTCAATGCACTAAGGTTAGTGTTGGACAGAGCAATGACATCATGATGATGTAATGTCTATTTCACACTACAGGTATAGCACAAAACATTTCAACGAAGACTCGACTCCGAAGGCCACGAAAGAGCTCCTGTCATGATGAGTCAATTGTAGTTGCCGTGGTAACACTTGTGTAGCTCGCTCACAAACTCTCCACTCACACCACATTCTTTCACTTCATGCACAATTGTATTAGAACTGTAATGACTGATGTAATTTAATGACCGCTGCCGGGAGTGCTGCAGTGGCAATATTATGACATCATCACGACGTAATGTAAATGTGAAACCATATCTTCTCTGCGTGAGTCTCGGCTAAGACAGAAGCTATGTTGACAGTTCAGAATAATGAGCTCCTATCTCTCTTTTTTTTTTCTGTCTAACTTTCCTACCTTCAGCCATCCTTGGGGTCCTAGCGTTTGAGACGAAAGCGTGAACCAAAATGGGGGTGGGGCTGGACCGCTACGTATAAAATGCGCATGCGCGTTCGGTGCGCGCGCGCGCGATACGCGGGAAAAACGAACTCCTTTATAGCTGATGCTGCAGCTGGCTTTCCAGAATAGTATAGCTCAGGACGCTGTGTGGACGTGTGTGTGGGTGCAGAGACGTAAGGAGAATGGCTACTGTGAGTAAAGTAATCCAATGTGTCATTAGTCTAGGTACAGTGCCTGGTGGAATGCAGAATAATAATTATTACCCCTAGCTATGTAAATGACACTGTTTTGCCCCATGCTAATTACATTTAGCAAGTGTTTACTACCTCCGTTTCAATGTCCTCAGCTTTTCAAAATTAGTCTCTCTGTCCTCCTCCCCCACCTCAGTTGGAACAGGCTCTCTCCAGTGCGTGGCAGTGGAGCGGCAGTGGCTGGGAAAGTCAAGAACTCCTCTCCCACCACTCCTCATCCTCCCAGACACCATTACCTCCTGTCACCAGGAAGATGTTCAATACACTCTCCTCTGCCATTTCTTCCGTGAGATGTCTCTCTGTCAGCTGCAACCTCTGGTCTTTCTTTGTGTCTGGTTCTCGTTCCTTCCTTCACTTTTTGCTGTTTTTCTGTCTCCCACTGTTTTAGTGGTGGGCCCTCCTCCCAACTTTTTCTCTCTCAAACTGACTGTGCTTGTGAGTACAGAATACAGAAGCCATTACTTTCTCTCCTCTCCCTCCCTCACTCCCTCCATTCAGGAGATGAAATCTCGTCATTTCTCTGGCCTCTCAGACCTCCTCTCTTGTGTCTCTCTCATCCTAAACCCCTCCTCCTCCTCCTCCTCCTCATCTCCCAGTGATACTCTGCAGTCCCTACTGAGCTATGGACTGGGAAGGAAACTCGGTAATGTGATTGCGCAACACACTGAATTGCTACTAGACATGGTCTGGCATTTCTATATATACTTTCATCGCACCTTTTTGTGTCCGAGACAAGTAACTTAGAAAGAAATTCGAAGCGCAATTGAAACAGACAACAAACTTGAATATTGCTTGGTTAATTCTACAAGTATTGTGCATCATCCCATTACTCTGTCTACAGTGGAGTGGCTGGCTGGTCTCCGTTCCATGCCGTGTACCGGCAGTATGGGCTGGAGACAGACCTGTATTGCCATGGCAACCGTGGCCGAGCAAGCCCTGGAGGCGTGTCGGCGAGGACAAAGGTCGTCTGTTGCTATTGACGACGCCACTCCTGGAGTGGGTCATCCTGAGGCAGCTACCAGTGGAAGGCCAGACTCTCTGTCAGTTACTCATTTCGTGGAATGAGAACACTGAGTTTGCATATTTTAGGCATATGACCTTTCCATCTGCCTTGGACGAATTCATCAAGCCAGATTGTAGTTGTTAACACATACATACTTGGTGGTTTGTCCTAGGTGTATGTATACATTTGCTATTTCATACTGTTTTAGAGAAAGCATTAGGCTCGATCTTTCTCTCCCTCCTCACCTTGTCTCCCGTACAGAGTGCTCGAGGTGTGGCCAATCTCCTGGAGGTGGTGGAAGGAGGCCAGAGAGACAAACTAGTCCAGAAACACTCTGCACTCTTGTGAGCCAATACTGCAGTGAATCCTCTCAATATGGGACACGTCGGAGACATCGAAATGGCCTTTTTCGTTTTGTAGAAATCAGATGCTAGCTGCAAACTTTGTGATTTCATAGTCAGAGATAATCACACTATGTGAATAGTCTATCTTTATTTTCTCTTTTTCGTATCTCTTTTTCTCCTTTGAATGAACAGTGATGAGCTAATGGATGGTGTTGTCTCTGCTGGAGGTAAATCATGGTACAGAATTACGGCAAATGGGTAACAATTCTCTCCCTCCCTCCCCTTCTTCCTCCCTCAGACTATGATCTGCAGGCTACGATGGTGGAATGCTGCATCAGTGCACTGAGGGAGAGTGGTGGGCGGAGTAGCCACGCCCACCGGTGGTTCTCAGACCACACCCTCATCTCTGCCTTCATGAATATTCACGAGACCACTTTTGAAACCGTGAGTGATACGTACTTTTGCAATTTGGTACACAAATTTGACAGAGAAATGTTTGTGAATTGCATGTGAAACACCATCACAGATGGTTCCAATGATCGCACAATGTATGAACCAGGTTTCCCTTTAACATTCAAATATGAGAGTCTCTGTTCCATTCCAGGATTGTCGTGGGTTCCTGACCACCCTCAACAGAACTGCTGGTCCAGACAGAAGGTGTGACTCTTAGATACTGCACTAGTCAACTGAATTTTTCTCTCTCTCTCTCTTCCTCCACTACAGCGTTCACTCATTTCTCTGTAAGAAGGTCTTACTTGGAGCAACCGAGGTTAGCTGTTCATCACATCATCAAACTCCACCCCTACCATCTGTATGTGCAGCTCCACCCACCGAGGGAAGTGGGACGAGATGGGTTCTGGCTGGACGTGAACTCCACCTCCCTCTCCCTCTCTCTGAACGTGGAGGACCCCTCAGATGGGGGGTCGGGGGATCCGCCGCAAGACTCGGGGGGTCTGTGGGAGATGGTGACTGTCACTGACCAGTCTATGGAGTCTTGGAGAATGACCAGTTAGTTATGCATATCCCACCCTCTCTTACACTGTTATAATCTTTTACAATCAGTTTTAATCTTTCTCCATTCACTCTGTATGTCCAGCTGAGAGAGGAGATGTGGTAGTAACAGTGACGCTGACAGTTCCGTCCCACTCCCTCCTCCCCTCCCTCCCTCCTTCCCCTCATCACACCCTCACCATCTCCTTCTCCCCCTCCCACAACCCCACACTCCCTCTGGAATTACTCTTCCCGGGCAAGAGAACCACCACTAATGTCGTTAGTCAAGCCACACCCACTACCACCAAACATCAGGTAATCCAAGAAAATTACGAACCATTGACTTTAGACACGTCTGCATTATAAGTACGAGGGAGACATCTCCTTTGAACTGATTGAGGTGCTCTCTCTCTAGACGTCCAGTTAGATAGTGTATATCGCATTTGCCTGATTTGTGAGTATACATGATGTCTTCATGATCTCCCCTCAGCAGGCCAGACGGGTGTCTCCTACCCACTCAGTCAAGTCCAGTGTCGCCATCACCCCCCTACACATCAAACCATCGTCTACCAGGTTTTCTCTTAACCCACACTCTACTGAATTATCGCCCGACTTCACCACATTTAACCCTACACTACCAAATTTGTCCTGGTTTAACCTTTAGCTTACCTGCTGAACCCTGTTAACCCTCATCATTCCTAATTCTCATCTCACCAGGTTGAACTGCGAACCTGGAAAAAGACCCCAATCATCAGCGTCGTCCTTATCTCACGTCTCTCCCATCGAAATCTCTCCCTCTGGACCCACACAGGTATATACATACTTACCTTCTCCTCCACTTCCTCATTCTTCTTACCTTGTCTCTGAGTCAAACATTCTATGATTGAAGAATGGATTTTGCTACTAAAACTACTAGCTAGCATCAGAGTAGCATTTTGCACTGTGTAATGCTTGTGTCACTGCATCATGGGTGTTCCATGCTGAGCAATAGTGTAAGGTGATCAGTATGTGAGTGAAGAAAGAGTGTCGACTTGATCACACGCTGTTCCACAGGGAGACCAGGTGTGCTCCCAGGGCTCAGCTCCCCTCCCTGTCCCGTTCCCAACTCCCCAGACCTCCACTCCCAAACTACATCCCACGTCCAGACTCCATTCCAACACCCCTTCCACTGGTGGTCAGTTTATCCCATGAGGATCAGAATTGTGTATGTATAACTAAATTTATTGTATAAACAGTCTGTTAGTCTTTTCATTAGATGCGTACAGTACTGTATGATGTACTCCCTGCGTGCAGTGAGGGCCCAGCTCCAGTTCTCCAGTGCTGGAGCCAGCAAGAGATCCATAGCCATCTCCTCCATACACATCTCCTCCCACTCCACCACCACCCCTGGCATTAGGACCACTAATGATGGACCCCTGGGTGTTCGTACTAGTGGTACTAGTGGTACTACTGGTGGTACCGGTGGTAAGAGACCAATGACTACCACACCATGTCCACTGAAGATGAAGCCAGACCACAGTGGTAGGCAACTCTTTCCAAAAGAGCAAACCAAACAACCACCGTCTGTGACTAAACCAGCAAAACCACCGACCAAACCGCCAACTGACAAACGGTTCGAACCACCAAAATCTGTGGCAGTACCACCAAAGAACCAAACCAAACGGCAGCAACCACCAGAAGACGAGAATGGTAGAAACCAAACCAAACAAGTGCTAAAAGACCAAACAAATACCAAAAGACAGCGAATACCAGACACTGAAAAACAATCATCTGGCAGTACCGGAGGCAAGAAGACTAAGCAGGTGCCAACAGAAGACCAAACTGGGACCACAGAACAGCCAAAAAGACTGCCAAAAGTCGCGTCGGACAGTGCCATGAAGACTAAGCAAGTGCCGACAGAAGACCAAACTGGGACCACAGAAGAGCCAAAAAGACTGCCAAAAGTCGCGTCGGACAGTGCCATGAAGACTAAGCAAGTGCCGACAGAAGACCAAACTGGGACCACAAAAGTTGCATCGGACAGTGCCATGGTGGGCCATCGGCAACAAACTTGTGCCAAGACTGCCGTTGACACTAGAGGTAATGATGACCTTACTGATAGGGCGGAGCTTGAGGATAAGGGGTGTGGTCAACCACACCCACATCAAGAGAAGCCACACCTTCCAAAATCATCTTCAACTGCTGCGTCAACTTCAGGCAAATCAACCTCATCATCAGCGAAGGAGGGTAAACCTTTTGGTGGCACTTGTTTGAGGAGAGGAAGAGGAGGGAAGAGGGGAGGGAGAGGAGGTTCAGGAGGTGCGGAAAAGAGAGTTGAAAGCAGAGGGAAGACAGGTGAAGAGGAGGAGGAGGAGGAGGAGGGGTTGGGGTGTGTTCGGCCGAGAGCTGGTCGACCGCCAGGTCAGAGGATGTTTGTCCTCAGTCATGCTCCACTCACCAGAGCTGATGGAGGACACAGAGGTAGAGGAGCTGGCAGGACCAAGGTAGATGGTGACTTATATACCATGGGGTCATACATTCTATACTCAGTACATTTTGTTATATGAACATTCAGATTGTAGCTGATGGCTTTTCATGATATAGAGGTTCCGCTGTACTTGTGGTGGCATGCAGTTTAATTGGCAGCAATCCTCTCTGAATAGAATACAACAGTGGTATAGATTGTGGTATCATTACAGGCGGGAAGAGTCAGAGGAGGAGGAGGGAGAAGAGGAAGGGTGAACACTGCCAAATCTCTTGTAACTACTTTCGACTTTGGAGATGTGAGTTGAACTGCATACACTTCACAGACATGTTGTAATGATGATGAAATGGTGACGTAAAGTACATTTTCAGCAGGCCGTATTATACCCTGTGTTTACTGCTCTGCAGAGTCCAGCAGTAGGAGGGGGCGTGGTTTCTCCTCCCATTCCCACCCCTCACTCCATCCCCTCCTCACTACCCTCACCTGATTACATTCCATCATCGGGACCCCATTCCAGACCACTCAAAGTAAGTCGAAAACATGGTTGTCGTACATGCAGAAAAAAACGTGTTCTTGAATTATGCTATCTACTTGGATGTTTCTATGTACTCTAATGACGTACCTTTTCATTTCCAGAGCCAACGGTCCAGAAGTGTTTTACTCCGTTCGCTGCCCGACAGTGACTACGACACTGATCCTGATGACGCCACTTGGAATGAAGACATCTCATCTGGGAGCAGTAAACCATCCAGTGGTAGACCCAGAGAGCCTGTTACTGCGGCAGAGAGAGGGGCAGAGAGGGGAGATGGTATGGAGAGAGGAAAGGGAGTGGGGGAGAAGGAGAAGGCTGCTGCTGAGAGCAGTTCCATGGCAGACAAGAAGGAGAGTGCGGAGAAGAAAAGGAAAAGAGAGGGAGGGAAGAAAGGAAAGATGCTGGCTACAAAAAGAGCTGGTGGCAGGAAACATCAGACCAATCCTTGTGAGAGTCAAGAGAGTGGAGAAACTAGGGAAGGAGAGGATGGAGTTACACTGGCTGCAGTGAAGACTACTGGTGTAGCAGGGAGGGGAGAAGGAGGTAAGAGGGGGAGAGGAAGACCACGCAAAAACAACACAACCTCTTCATCCACTGACAGAGCTGACACCACAACGGACAAGAAGAGAGAGGACCTCTTACCTCCAACCAAGGGTGGCCTGGAGAGACCAAAGAATACAACTCCTGTTGCCTCTAAATTTGCTACCAAAGCTAGTGCTACTAACAGAGTGGAGAATGTTCCAGAGAACAGTGGAGATCTTTTACCTCTGACTAAGAGCAACAGAGGAGGCAGACAAACGAAACTGCCCTCTGCCACTAAGCCAGCTAAGGCTGATGACGGTTGGAGTGCTACCGTTGCCAATGGATCAGTACTAGGGAACACTACTTCTCTGGCTAAGAGCGGCAGGCAAAGGAGAGACAATTTGACATCAGCATCTGCCAATACTAGCGGTCCCGATACTAACAGAGCTAAAATTAGGGAAAGAGAGAGAAATGAAGTTTCAAAATCGGCTGTGAACAAGAAGAAACAGATGGATAAAGAGAGAGTGGAGGGACGTAAAGAGAGTCGATATGATGTTCAAGATGATGATGTCATTGAGGAGCCGTCGTCCAGTGAGGGACTGCAGAGTCCCACCGTGTCAACCTGGACCTCTAGTCCAGTGGCCTCCGGAACAAGGAGACATAACATGGCTGATGAGGTGGGAGAGGTGGGGAATAGGGGAACGAGGGGAGAGAGATCGCCAGTCAGGAAGAAACATCGCAGCAGCAGTGGATATGTCAGGTATATATTCTAGTGTCGTCATGTAATCTGCCAGTTGAACCTCAACAGCTGGCATATTTTGAGTAGTATAAAACTGATTCTGTGTGATATGTAATTGCAGTGAAGTGACTTTGTTTCTGCAGTTTCCTGGCATCCCCGGCATCCTCAGCAAGCTCCACCCACAACCAGCAGGGGTCAGAATCAAAGACCACACCCCCTGCCCCACCCTCTCCGATCAACTCCGTCACGTCGTCCAGTATTTGTGCAGACAGCGACATCACCTGTCGATTTGAGACTATCTGTCAGGTATACAGTGGAACTCCTCTAATTCGCCACATCAATGGAACAGAAGAGGGTGTCCATATTAGTGAGGTGTCCTCATTTCTGGGGAGGGACTACATAGCAGTAGAAGAGGTTTCGTAGATAAACTTATTGGTATGTGAGTGTTTTTCATTCTCGTGTTCCCAGAATCTGGTGGCCCAGGCGTGGAACCAATCTCCTCCTCTGCCCCTGCAATCCTCAATGGCTGATTGCCAGTTAAGAGGGAAACCAAGAGCTGCTGGAGGAAAGAGGACTAGCAAAGGAAATGGACAGAAGGAGAGAGAGAGGAAGAAGAGAGAGAAGAAGGAGAGGGAGGAGAAGGAGGAGAGAGAGGAGAGAGAGAGGAAGGAGAGGGAGGAGAGAGAGAGGAAGAAGAGAGAGAAGAACGAGAGGGAGGAGAAGAGAGGAGAGAGGAGAAGGAGAGGGAGGAGAGAGAGAGGAGAGGAAAAGACGATCTGCCAGCGAGACCACCGGCCAGAGGAGGAGCACTCTCACCTCTGAGAGGAAAGAGGGGTTGGAATCACGACAGGTGACCCCATTGACCCCTGCCACCCCTGACATTGCAAACATCTCCATTCAGTCAGGTGTGTTTGTAGCTATACTCATACATGAAGCAGGGACTCCTCTAATCCAGACACCAATGTTTCTCAAACAGAAATAGGGCCTGCCATTTTTTTCATGGAAATGGTGCATAACAAACATGCTGTTCTTTTTGATGCATGGTCAAGACCATCAATTGTGGTGGTGCCACACTTGTGTACGGGTTCCACATTTCTCTATATTTCTATATAGTGTGCCGAGGGTTTGCACTTTAGTGCTTTTCATTTCAGTGGTGTCCTTAGACCACTGTACTTGTCATAATATATCTACAGGTTCAGGGGAGCTCCCTCCAATCACGTTGCTGACGAGAAAGAGAAGACATGCTGTAGAGTGGGAGAACACTGAACAAGAACTCCCTGTTGCCGTGGCAAAGAAACCCCGTGTTACCAAGGCAACCAAGAGGAATCCTCCGGCAGCGGGGGATGGAGTCAGGGGTCTGGAGGGGGTGTGGCAGGAGATGGAGAGGGAGAGGTAAAATTGCCCACTTTAATTCCCCCACTTCCACAAGCAACAGAATTCGTTGAGAGCCTTTACGTCTCGTCTGCTCTCTCCAGGAAAGCTCTGATCTGCAACCACAACGAGGGTGTGGTGAAGTGTCTGACGTCAGTGGAGAAGACTGTGAGTGGTGTGTGGGGCCGCAGTGAGCAGGGTCTACTGTCTCTGGGACAGACTCTCAGTCTCATGGCCACTGGCATCTCCACCACTGAGAGAAGGTAATGGTGTGTCGGTACCATGAGCAAGAGCCTTGTTTTACACAGTCACACTTTAAACCAGGCTCATAACCACTTTTGCTTCAAACTCACCTCTTTAATATGGTTTGAAAGAAGTGGTCTCTTAATCTGTTTTAAACACACAAAGTTGTTTTCAAACCGTAAGTGTTGCTCTTATAAATGTAGTACTGTTTGTCTGTCACGTCGGCTCTCTCCTGCTCCCATAGGATGGAGGATCTGCGAGGTCTGATGGCCCGATTCCAGACCAGTCTCTCTGACATGGAACAGAGACAGAGCCAGGGGAGGGGCGTGGCTCAGCAGGGTCTCAAGAGAGATATCCAGCTCATTCAGCAGAGATCCGTCAGGAAAGCTGTGAGTTTGGTCTCAGTTTTTTTAGCCAAACTTTTACAAACCATTTCCGTGGCATCTTTCCAACATCACACAGAACGAAACACAGGTAACAAAGGTCAGGCAAGCACTACAGGCTATGCTGATGAAACTATGACATCACCATTACATCATCATTAATATTAACCACTAAACTGAGAAGGACCTATGCTTTGTAATCGCATTATACTACTGTTCATCATGATCATAGAAATCATCAAGGAGTGACTAATGAATATGTTTTTAGTTCCTATGGTGATAAGCTCCGCCCCCTGCCAGGAGTCGTTTGAGGTTCGACTTTGATATGATTCCGTGTGTCTGAGTGTAGGTTCCCATGGCAACCCTGGAGGGTGCTCCACGAGCCACACCTCTCGTTCCTCCTCTGCTGCTGTCTGGCCTGGAGGATGGGATCTGTGGAGGAATGGTTCTCAACTAATTGGCTGCTTCTGTGGAACCAGCAAGGTGCCCTTATTTCTGGCAGCCGGTGTCCTAATAGGGGGGCTCCATAATCGTTTCAGGTGATCCTATCTGTAAAGCAGTTTGCTAAGGCTCGGGCAAGGACTGAGACTATTCACGCATGCTTTAGAAAAGACGTTATGATGCATTACTGTATGTAAGTATAGGTAAGTAATGACAGTTTAATCAATGATCAGTTGCATAACTAGCTATAAATAGCAGTAAGGTCACTCACAATACGAGCACTGGTAAGAGTGAGGTCTGGAGTCTGTACACACGAGTGATGGAGAATAGCTGGTGGGCGGGGTTTCTGGTAGGAGGAGCTTGAGAAGGGCCATGGCTTAGCTATCACTGGAGATGCAAAGACCTGCTGTGGTGATGCACAATGATAATTGAAGGTACACAACTGTGTATTCTGAAATCCACTTGGATCATTAACCCTCAGCCCGCATGCAGAGCGAAGGTTACGGTACTTGGTTCATGTGTGTGTCTGTCTGTCTGTTACCATGTTGACAATGCATTGCATAGCAGAACCTATCATTCATTTTACCACTACCACGCATGTGTATTGGTTCGACATTTCTAATGAACCATGGGTTGCCACTTTAGTTCATTGACAGAGGAAACTCAGGGAAACTGGGAGTGCAACTTCTCTACATTATAATCAGACTCAGACAAAAGTGTACATATTAGTGAAGTGTCCTTATTTCAAATTGCATGCAGAAACCTTTCTTAGGGAAAAGAAAAGTGTCACCTTGGATGTGGTAGCTTTGGGAGTGACATCACCATCTGCACTTTTGGCCCGTTCAGAGCTGGACGTGGCCTCAGCGGGACGGGGTGTGGCTTCATCAGGTCCCTCCCTCTCCTTTCTCTTCTCTCGTCTTCTCCTCATCCGCGATCTCTTCCAGCGATGGCAGTGTAGAGACGGTCTCTGTAGCGGTCAGCCGCCAGCTGAGTGTTGTCGTCAAGATGGAGGACCACGTCACAGTCCAGAACTGGCTCACTGCGAGCATCATGGAATCTGGACAGACACATGTGGCCACATTGTGAAAGACACAAAGTCCACAGTTTATATTAGTGCCATCTTATGTAACATCACACACACACACCTCTTGACGAAGGGATGGTGGACGGCAGAGTGTGCAGAGAGTCTTCTGTCAGCTGTGAATTGGAGTAGTTTTGTCAGTAGATCCAGAGCCTCGTCTGAAGCAGTTGGCAGGAGTTGAGACAGTCTGTAGTTCCGTCTGCAGTACACACACACATACTGTCATTCACACATATCTTTCTACTCTTACTCACAAATAGAAAGCTAAGATGGGCAATAATAAGAGTGGAACCCCTCTCTCTGGAGTCCCCACACCTCTCTAATAAAGGCAACCTTCCTTTACCATGCAATTTAACCCCTGAAAAGGGACACCTGGACACTTTTTCTGTCTCATTGGTGTCTTGAATAGAGAGAGTTCCGCTGTATACCATACATAAGTGGTCACCTGCGAGGCAGTTGTCCCAGTATGGCCATGGCATAAGGAGCTCCAACTGCCTCTATCTCTTGTCTCGACGGCTGCGGGAGAACTGCCATTATCCTCTCTATCTGGTTCATCGTCGATGAACCCGGGAACAGAGGTCTCCCTGTGCGAGGGGGCAATAAAGGAGTGGAACATCTGAAGAACTCTTTATGAAGGGTACTTTCGTTCTGCCCCGTAGTAATATGTTATGGGACTCATCTCAACACTTTCAAAGTCTGTAGGCAAAGTGTTCCTTATGCAGATGTTTCATTAGTTGTTCTTGTCTTGCCTCTTCTTTGTTGTTGGACTAAATCCACTCAGTGATATATCAGAAGATGTATATGTACCTGCAATCATCTCTGCTAGAATGCAGCCAGTGGACCACATGTCAACACCAGTGGTATAGAGCTGTCCTCCCAGCAGTATCTCTGGGGCTCTGTACCAGCGAGTGGCCACGTAGTCAGTCATGGCTGGCAGGCTGACGTCAGGCTGGTTGGAGGAGGAGGGAGGGAGAAGAGAGAGGGAGCGAGCCAGGCCGAAATCTGCCAGCTGTCATGTGGGGGAAGGTAGGAACAGTTTGAAGGATGATTAGGGGAAAGAAAACTGAGAATGTGAGGTTCAAAAAGTGATTACCAGATTGAATCAGACCTTTATGTGGCAGTGAGGGTTGATTAGGATGTTGCTAGGCTGTGGGGAAAAGAAAGTAGAGAGGTAGAGTGGTTTTAATCGGGGACAAGTTGTTTACCTTGAGGTCTCTATGGATACAGTGTCCTGAGTGAATGAACTTCATCACTTTCAACAGCTGTATGAATGGAGAATGAGGTGGAGTTTCACTACATGTAAGAACTGTTCTTGGGGCAAAGAAATGGTGTCCTTATTAGAGAGGTGTCCTCATTTCAAGGGTGTCCTTATTAGAGAGGTGTCCTCATTTCAGGGGTGTCTTCATTTCAGGTGTCCTTAGAGAGAGGTTCAACTGTAAGTAAACATACCTGATACATGATGTACTGGTGGTGGATAGGCTGGAGGAGTCTGTTCTTGACGACCGCGTGCAGATCTGTATCCATGAACTCAAACACCAGATACAAGTCCACGTCGTTGGCTGCCCTCACGACATTCAGGAGCTGTACCACATTCTCGTGGGACGAGAATGCCTGTAGACATGAACAAACCACAACAAGTCATCCCGACCAACAACAACCCCACAATCTCCAGATCCACCTTTGAAAATTCTCACCTGAAGAAACATGACCTCCCTGTAAGTCCTCTGAGCGTCTGTGGCGTTCGAGAAGGCATCAAAGATCTTCTTTAGCGCTACTATCTCTCCAGTCCTCCGATCCACACTCTTCCACACTATCCCATAGGCCTAGCAACAACGAGCAGCGTGAAACAAACGTAGTATACTACGCTCTACGCTGCGTGTTTGTCGCTTACTCCTTTGCCGATACGCCGACGAATTTCGTAGTTTCTTAGAACGTGTTCTTCCACATCTGTAGTTGACATCTCGTACACAATCCTTCCGTAGCCTTCTCCTTTCTTTGTCCACGTTGATTTTGTTTCGTTGCCTGGACACCGCACAACCTCTCTCTAATTGAGCGAATGTGAAATTTACTGGCGCACCAAGCCAACTAATTACTAGGGGCGTCCCCTCTCCGCGATATTACATTCTTTATCGCCAGACATCAGGAAATGTCTTTGAAGTGGCGCCGAACCGTCGCAATACACGAGACACAATGCGGGCGGTCGGCCGGCCGATCCAGCCAACCAATCAGAAGCCGCCCAGACGACTAATTGTGTTGTCTGGAGAGAGTGTGCGCCGCCCGCGACAAACTCCGCGGACCCCGCGTCTCCGGAGCTGACCTCCGGCGCACGTCTACTGTTTCCTCAAGCGGCGGCTAGACACGCACACGACGGCTTTGTGCGATCAGCAAGCATCGCCTGCAGAAATGGCGTCGAGTGAATATCGTTCGACGGCGTGTCGGACGGCGATTGCGGGAAACGCCGCTTCCGCCGACGAGTAATAGCAGACAGACGGAGCGAAGAAGACATCCGCAGATACTAAATTTCTCTCGTCAACCCGCGCTCCCCGAAGAACTGCACGAGAGAGAAACAGAAGGGTTATCCGCAGAAGGAGTGAGTGTGGAAATTGCACAATTGATCGAGCGCCAATTTTCCCGTCCATCGCCCGGATAAAGGTATCACACACGCACACGCTTCTGCCCAGGGCCCCCGCGCCTGCTTGTGCCACTGCACTGGCTTTTGCTGTGGGCCCTCATAACGATATTCATAGCAGTATGGACCCCTTTACTGGCGGCCGCCGCCAATTAATTAGCGTCTGAAGAATGCAATTTTGGCCGGCGGCGGTACAGGTGCATAATTAGCATTACACCCGCTGGCCTTTATACTCACCTCATAGAAATAGAATAGCCCCCTTGAAACTGGAGGAAATGGCCCAAGAAAGACCATTTACTATTAGAATATAAATGGAGTGCATTCAATTAAAATGTCTAGACACATTCCTAGACTCTCAAGAGACAGTGTCTTCATGTAATTATGTATTGTGTGCCTGATGTTATACAAATCATGTAGTCTGGTGACCCTTGTTTTCATGTAACCTTCATGTGTACCCTACACTGATACACACTGAGCATGTCTCTTGTTTCCATGTACCCTTCACGTACACTATCTACATGGTAAGAGTGAAGGGGGGTAAATACCATTCACCTCATTTACAGACAGGAGTTTGTTTTTTTACTCTACCTGTCTTGTCTGTCAGTAAGCAAGTACAGCAGTAGCTAGTGAAGTTTAGTGATAGGCAAGGACACCTTTTCTTTCCCCAACAACAATAAGGACACCTCACCACTAGTGTTCTGTCCAATTGGTGTCCTATTGGAGAGGTTTCACCCCAATTGTTGTGCCTTAACCAGACACTAGCTCTATATACAATACTGAGGAGTCTATAGTTTGTTTGTGGTCTGGAGACCTGTTTACAATGGCCTAGGAACACTGGTGGTGGTGTGGTGTGGTGCTGGTGACTGGTACCCAGGGTGCTAGGAACTGTTTACATAACACTTTCTGCCATACACTTTTTGTAGCACTCAAATAGTGCTCATTGCATGGGAGTGAAAATAATTTGATGATATCTGTGAAATGTTGTGTAGGCAATGCACCACCTTCTCTTTCCCAAGAGCCGTCTGTGTCTTCCTCTGGAAGTAACTCTGACGGCCTTTGCTTTAGCAGCACAACTCGGCAGTTTAAAACATTTCCCCGCACTGTGCTGGTGTGCCTGCAGGCATTGTACGTTTGATTAACCTCCAATTACAAAAATCATCACACTGTGATTATTTTGTCTGCCTTTATATAAAACATTGAAGACTGCCGGCTGTTATGACATGGAGCGTAATCCCTAATAATTGTCCGTCCCTAATAATTGTCTGTCCTGCTGGTGCCCTAATTGGAGGGACTCCACTAGCTACCATGTTATAGAATCTGTGTGTTTGTAAGTTCTCCGTATGTGTTTTATCTGCCGTCACCTGCACGGTTGACTTACTACTGGTCATCACTGGTGAATATTGTGTCTGTGTCTTGATAAAACACCCTCCAATGTGTCAAAGACGGTTTGTCTGTCTGTCTATTGTAGGAAACGTCTGTTTGCTCTGTTTGCGTGACTGTTGCCATGTCTTACCTGACCTGCATCAATAGGCCACTGCACTGTACTATTGGATATGTATATACATGGAAGTTTAGACGAAAGAAAATGCTTTACTGCACGTATTGTTGAGTATAGACAAAACGTGAACACCTCTACCGCACCTCTACCGCACCTTACTGCACCCTGTACCCTGTACCCTGTACCATATCATATATTATATGTTGCCCCACTGAAATAAAGATATAATCAGGATATACTTTTCTCTCTGTGATTTGTTTCTTTCTCCTGTGCAGGTATCTAATGTCTGGAGGTGACAATGCCCCGCCTCCTTCCACCCCCCCTCCCTCTTCCTCGTCCTCCCTCCCTCCCACACTCACTCCATTCATCTCCCCCTCGGGGGTGGGCGGAGTCAGGTGAGAATCATGTGACTGTCACATTCCTTATGTCTCAACTGAAATAACTAGAGGGGGGGAAGTGGGTTCTAAGTGAAATATCTGTGCGCCTCTGCTCCATATTTGGTGGTAATTAAATTGGTAAAGAGGTGATAAAGATCTCTAGACCAGCCATGTTGACAGGACACCTCAAAACCACATCTAAAGACTGGGTTGGTTGCCTAGGAGACATGGTGGGACAGGGAGGCCAGACAAGTGATGGGAGAATGGGTTCATTTGAGACGAAACACAAACACAGATGACATAGGGTCTCTTATCCCTCGCTGTTGCCCTCGGCAACACCGCCACGGCAACAGAGGCTGATGGGACCGTGGTCATGTGACATGCCGACTTGCTGCGTTGCCTATCATATCCATACATTTGAACTGGCATGAGACTTTATCGATACTTTGCATCGTGATCGTCGATCGTCGTCGTCATATATAGCCTTTATGTATAGAAATGGACTATTGGCTGCATGGCTGTTAGCGCGAAGATATTGACTCCGTGCTCTATTTCCTAGCATTATGTGCTGAAAAACTCCAGTTTAGCTTTTGAGTAATTGAAGAAGTAGTATTTAGACAGGAAGAGGGATTATCTTATGGAGGACAAAGAAAGGGAGTACATTCCCCGTTGATCTCCATGGCAACCATTGTCTCCCCACATTCCAGGAGAAACCTCTCGACCCTTGTCCTCACACAGGGACAGCTTCACCAACTGCACACAACGTGCCATGCAGAGCAGCCCTCACCTATTATACTAGCTGTAGCCTTTGATGTTATGGAGGTACTGTAGTCTAGAAGGTTGGCAGCTGTCTCCCTGGCAACCTACATGTATATACCAGATCCCAGACACTGATAAACTCTACATACCTCAAACATAATATACAACTAAGGCTCTTATCTTATCAGATGATTCTCATAGAAAAGTATTTTTAATGGCTGTCCTTGTGATGAGGAGAGAGGAGAGAGAGAGAGAGAGAATGAAAGTGGTAGAAAAAGAGAACTAAGATGGGACCAAAAAGAGGACAGGGAAGAAGAGAGAGATGAAGGAGGGAGTGTTTTGGCTGGGACAGATGGTCTTGTACTGACTGCCCCAGCCACTGGTATCTGAGCCTCAAAGACCTCTGCAGCTGACGTTCCCATGCTATCTTCACACACACATTTTGAACTTGAAAATTGACCAATCAGATTGCACGGTGTAGCTGCAAACTCTCTTCGTCGCCATTCCATTAACATTTCTTTCTTGGCGGTGCATTGTATTGTAGCTATACCATCATTTCTCTACCGAATTACTAAAAACTTCTCACAATATTCTGCACCGCCATAACATGTCAGTAGGTGTGTGTGTATGTCAAAATTGTTGTCTACATGTGTTACCACCTTATGTTGGCACTGCACTGATCAAATTATGACCTAATTTCACCATCTCCCTCCCTCCCTCCCTCCCTCACCAGGTTCCCTATCTACGCCACCATCCAGGGTGTCAACTCTCCACTTCTCTACTCCCCCACTCTCTTTGGACAGTCTGTGTTGCCATGGAGACCACTGGTGACCACGCCCACCACCAGTGCTGCAGCAGCTGGTACGTAGAATACAGTGAAACCTCCTAATAAGGGACACGGTTGAGACATCAAAAATTGAAATTTCTCACGCTAACCAAAGTTGATCTAAATTGTCTGACAGTAGCCAATACAGTAGTCAGGTGGCCTACCTACTGTTGTTGTGTCGTCTGGAACCCACTGACGTTGCCACGGCAACTCATTGATGCGGCCAGCCTCGGTTCCTCGTAGGTGTCTTTTATGCCAGCTGGTTACATAACCACCCAGGACGACGTGCCACTAGGTGTGTGGCTTTCTTAACCCTCGGGGCGCATGTATCGAGGATTGCAGTACTTGGTCTGTGTGTGTGTGTCTGCATCACCTGATACACTATTGGCTGTTGCCTTGGCAGCCAGTCTACGCTAGCCTAATCCCGCGCCAAGTTTTCCTCCTCGTCAAACAGGTTTTGCGTGTCTTGCGGTGGTGACGCACACGTGTGTCCTGGCCGGGTAATTCATTGACAGTGGCTGCGGTGTCTATGGCTCGTGACATGACGCCGTGCGTGGCCTGGTTTAGTCTGTGGTGACTGGTGTTTATTCTGAGGACGCCTAATTGAGGTGGTAGTGGCGCGTGCGTGTCTGGGTCGAGTTGGCAGGGCAGCCATACAGTCATTGTCGACTGTGTGCGTATATAATCGGTGCTGCTATAGCTCTGATAATACGGTGCTGTATATAGGGTGCTGTATAAGGAGGGAAATCACACTTCCATCCTTATTCTCCATTTATCTCACTCCGAACTTTGTCTTTTCAACCTACGTATCTCGCTTCTTACAAACCTAATTTCGTTTTCTTTTTATGGGCAAGATTCACTCTCTATCTGTCCTTCTTGTCTCCCCAGCAGGTAGTGGAGTGCAGACCGTGTCTCCAGCCTCCACCCCTCCCTCCTCCGCTTCCCCCTCGGTCGTCACGGGATACGCGGCAGCCTCGTTTGCCCAGTTGCCGGGGGGACTGATGTACCCTCTCTCCTCCCTCAACATGCCTCTCCTCATGCAGACAGACTCCACCCCCAAGAAAGGTAGTGGGAATAAATCAAGTTTCTCCTGATTTTGATCAATTTGGATACCAATGAATCAAACATTCTCACTTTATAAACTGAATACAGAGGAACTCCTCTAATCCAGACACCAAGTGGAACGTAGGAAGTGTCCATATTGGTGAGGTGTCCTTATTTCAAAGGAACTGTGGGTGGGGAAAGAAAGGGTGTCCTTCTATTCTGTTGTTCTAATAGTTGCTTGTTCACGTCTCTCCCTGGTAGGTGTAACTGGTGGTAAGAGAAGAGGCGACTCATCCTCGGTGGCAGATTCTGATGACGCCAAACGATCCCGGGTATCCACGGCAACGGGGGGGCCCCAATCGGCGGGGTCGTCATCGTCCCCCTCGCCCCAACCTCCGTTACTCCGCCCCACTCCACATCGCTCCCCTGTCATCAAGTACAACCTGCTGCCTTACAACATTGGTCAGTTTCCCTTTCTTCAGTCTCATTGGTGTCTGGATTACACAACACATTATGAAACTCTCGTCCTATGTACTATAGGTGGAGCCACAGTTGTCGCAGGAGCGGTGCCGGGGCAACAGGCCACACCCACCTCGTTAACCCAGACAGTTATTCTCTCCATTACTCCCAACACGACTGGTGCCGTAGGAACCGCCCGTCTCTCCCCTCACCCCACCCTCGTACAAGCCACGCCCCCTAGCTCCACCCCCTCGACTCCGCCCTCCTTCCCCACTGTCACACCCTCCCTCTCCTCCTCCTCCATTCCTCCAAATCTCCTCATCACTATACTGCGATGTTTTGGGCCTCTTCAGGTATATATATACAGCGGAGACACATTTATGTGTCGGTGTGTTAACTTCTCCATGAAATTTGCATGTCTTATGTTCTCTACAGGTCCCTTCCTCCATACCAGTTAATCAACTGGTGATCTCTGACCTTCTGTCCGACCTCTACCGATCCTCCTACCACACCACCTCTGAGATCTCTGGGAACCTATCTCCTGAGAGCTGTGCCCTCCTCACCATCGCCTACCTCTCCTCCCTTCGCAGGTCTGAACACACATCTAGACTCTGACCAATTACAAGTGCAGTGAGAGACTTTCTGTAGATGGCAATAAACAAAAATTTTTCCCAAAAGTTTTCACTAAAGTTAAGACCATTGTAGATACATAATGAGGTTCTAACACGTTTCCTCAAGGGAATTATCATAGTAGTTTTCATCAAAGGGTTTCCACTGTTCAACGTGTACGTGTATCTGAGTGCACTATACATTTATAGCTTCGAGTGTGTGTGTGTATTAGGTGCCCTCCCCCACATACAGGGGAGAGAGGGTGTGTGTGTATTAGGTGCCCTCCCCCACATACAGGGGAGAGAGGGTGTGTGTGTATTAGGTGCCCTCCCCCACATACAGGGGAGAGAGGGTGTGTGTGTGTATTAGGTGCCCTCCCCCACATACAGGGGAGAGAGGGTGTGTGTGTATTAGGTGCCCTCCCCCCACATACAGGGGAGAGAGGGTGTGTGTGTATTAGGTGCCCTCCCCCACATACAGGGGAGAGAGGGTGTGTGTGTATTAGGTGCCCTCCCCCACATACAGGGGAGAGAGTGTGTGTGTGTATTAGGTGCCCTCCCCCACATACAGGGGAGAGAGGGTGTGTGTGGAGAGTCTCCATACCATGCTCAAGTACGCCAGAACGGGGGAATCGGAATGGCTCCAGTACTACAAGAGGCACAAGAAGATGTCCGAATCCACGTTTGTTCAGTCACAGTTGATGCATCTCTCCCGAATATCTGTCTACCCTGCACTCGGCCGCGTTCGCGTCATGATCTCCAACGAGCATCTGGCACAGGGGATCACCCTGACGATTAAGAACCTCACCCAGCTGGTTGCCATGACGACCGAGGCCCTCCCGGACTTTGTGGTAGTGTTGGCCGTCCGTGGCAACGTGGGGGTGGAGTTTTGTGTCCTCGTCCTCGAGCCCCTCCTCTCGCAGCTATTGCTACGCCAACAGAAAAACAGATGGCGTCGACTGGCACACGGAGTGTTGAAGAAGTCTGGGAGTGCATCTGTTGGTGGTGCCATGGAAACGACGGCAGGGGGAACCCCTCTCTTCAGCAGAGATTGAAATTGAGAAGAGACTGCTAGTTACACTGAGGAGACTCCAGAGAGGGCTGAAGGGAGAAGTCCACATTCCGTTCCAGGAACCTGGGAATGGGAACGGAACCATATCACCGTCGAGGGCGGAGGTAATGACCCCTGTGACCCCTCACGTGATCGAGCATAAGCCCGGGGGTCCGTACGGCGATCAGGTGAGCGTTGCCATGCACCTCATGCAGCGGATCACAGCAGGGGGCGGAGTAAAACTTGAGAATTTTAGAACCCTCGATTTCTGCGTCCTCTGCCCCCCGGGGGTTAATTTCGTGAGGGGGGTGGAGCGAGGAATGGTGGAGGGGGGACTGGGGGAATTGGTGAAGAGGGAAGAGGGACAGGAGAGGGAGGGGGGAGGGGGCTTTGGACGACAGAATAATCCGCTGTTGTGAAGAAGATTATGGAAAATTTTCAAAGTTTCTAAATGAGATTCACACACATCAAGAGACGCTCTACGTGGTGGTCGTTGAACACGCTGACATCACCAGCTCGTTAGTGGGCGACATGGTTGACGACAGTTCCCATGGCAACAAGAGGACCGTACAGGGCAGTTGCTATGGAGAACACAAGATTCTGCTCGGCCAACCGAACGTTGTGATGCTGTACGTGACGTCATTGCCATACCGACTAGTCACCAATAGGTTTCTGGTGTCGGCAGCTAATGAGATTCATTGGCCTGTGAGGACCCCAACCAACGAGGCTGGGGGAGAGAGGGAAGGAGAGGTGGAGTTTTGTTGTGTGGGAGGGTTGCCGGGGCAACGGTGAAGGGGGTGGGGCCTGGCCGAATTGTGGTGTGTGAAGATGAAAGAATGGAGGAGGAGTTTCACTCCATTGCCTCGCAACTATGGTAATTTGCATTGACATCTGAAACACAATATAATGTATATATACACACCCTCTCTCTCTGCCCCAGTCCATCTGCAGACTTCTCTCTCATCCGTCACCAGCTCCTCCTCAACGACTACGTCTCCGCCCTGTCTGGCCATGCCCACTCGGGAAGCTCCGCCCACCCAGACACTCAGACTATAGTCAGAGGTCTGACTGAGGAACCTCTCTCCAGTAGCAGAGGTCGTGGCTCCATGCTCCTCATCAGGTGAGTGTCATGTGATAGTCATGTGATATCCGTTTTATTTCATAGTCCTGCTAAGAAGTTTTGCGGTTTTCTGACAAAAATTTGGGGCTTGCAATACTCATCTTTTCTTTGATGAAATATCTATCATTCTCGGCTCATGTGCAGGTCACATGACAGTCACATGGGTCAACAGTTCTTCTCCAAGCTCAAGGCCACTCGCGATGCCCTCGGACTCCAGTTCCGCTTCGAGATGGTCCTGGACTCCGGCAGAGAAGGTTTAACCCTCTCCCCACACTTCCACCGCCGCGTGCGCAAGACCACGGGGAAGACGGATTCCAGTATCTATGGCACGGTTTGTCTGGGTGACGGTAGTCATGGCGACAGTTGCCGTGGTGACGACGGGGTCACGTGACCTATCTGATCTTGGAGAATGTGCCGTGTGTGGTGGTGATGACGGGGGAAGAGAGACCCACACGTCCTCTCTACCAAGGTCAGTGGTTTTTACATCACTAAGTTTGGTGTCTACAACTTTTTCTCTGGATCAGATTTGACATTCCTATTAATATCTGCTGTTGTTGTACACTAGAGGTCCCCTGCTCACTTGCATCACAGACCGGATTTCCATCAATTTTTTCCCGTATGATGAGTAATTGGCTATTCCCCCTCCCCCAGCTCCCTCAAGTGGGTAGATCTGAGACTACTGTACCCGTCTGACATCACGCGCTCCGTGTACGAGTCAGAACTGGCCTGGGCTAATGGCTACCTGCCCCCCTCCCCCTCTCTCTCCTCCTCCTCCTCCCACCTCAGACAGCCCCACACACTCAGAACCACTTCAGACAAGGTTGGTGCTCATTTTAGTGAATAGTGTGTTTAGCAATTATGCTCCATTTGCACAGGACACAAGTAGTCATCATTCTGATGAACAGGAAGTGATGTCAGAATCACATGACCCAGTGAGACCCACCCCCAGCCACGCCTCTCTCCTCCTCGTCGAGTCGACGGAGCAGTGTGACCGACAGTGCCGTCACGGCAACGGAGGGGGATGGAAGGGAAAGGGGGGTGGGGGGAGTAGTGGAATGGCATGCTGGGACCACCACCCACGATACTACCACTGTGGTACGTGATGTAAACCACTGCGGTACGTGATGTAAACCACTGCGTGATGTAAACCACTGCGCTGATGTAAAACCACTGCGGTACGTGATGTACCACTGCGGTACGTGATGTAAACCCCTGCGTACGTGATGTAAACCACTGTGTAGTGATGTAACACTGCGGTACGTGATGTAACCACTGTGGTACATGATGTAACCACTGGTAACAATGGGTCCCAAATAAGGCATGAATTAATTTCACTTAAGATTTTTTGTTTGTCTGTTGCTAGGAGACACTGGGGGCGGGGTCAGACGAGGAAGAGGAAGAGGAGGTGATTGACGTCAGTGACCTGCCGTCCCAGACTCCGCCCACTGCTACCATGACAACCACGGTGGTGATTGACCCTCCTGAAGACCAGATGGAGTCTCAGCAGGTCTGTGGGTCCCTCTCTCTAATCAGGACACCCCTGAAATCAAGACACCTTCCTTCCATCTCATTGGTGTCCGGATTTCCACTGCGCACTCTATAATGTACATACCATCCCAGGTGGAAGGAGGGGTGTGGTCTTATTCCCAGTGTGCCATTCTCCCAAACCACCACCAGAACAGAACAGAGACCGTCACTTCTCCTCACCTCTCCCTTCCTCATGTCGACGTACGTTTCGCATTGTTGTCCTCGGACCTAAACGCTGCATACATTGTATAATATGGTGAGTTTGCTTCACTTCTCTCTGCAGCTATTTGCTGATCTATCAGACTCTGAAAGTGACTCAGAGGACGAAGGGGAACCCCCTGCAATCACCAGGACCTGCTTGTTGCCACGGTAACAAACATGCCACACACTCAGTTGTATGCAAAATCGAAGTTTGTATTTTACTTCACAGGCCTTTCTTCCATATTTGGACATCTCGAAACATACAACAGGCACTTCTGTTGCCACCGGCAACAGGGGTGGAATGGGCGTCGCCCAGCTCAAAGCATTCTCGCAGCAGTGGTTCCCATGGCAACACGGCCAGTAACGGAGGAAGCTCCGCCCCCTCAGGGCACACAGAGAAAGCACGACGACCTCCACTTTTTGATCCAGACCCCGCCCACCAAGTAAACATGGGAACAATTTCATGATTACGTAATATTTAGCAATATTATTGCTCCGCAGACCAGTTACTACAGGAAATGGAGTAAACCCTGTAATTCCGTTGCTAAGAAAGCCCTGGACATGTTGCTACGAGCTACCATCTCGGGAACTAAACATCGGTTCCTGCTGACTGGCCCCTCACAGGTGAGTGGGGAGTTTCCTTTAATGGTAATGTTTGATGTAATCATTACATCATCAGGTGGGTAAGACGGGGGCGTGGCAGTTGTTGGTGAGGTTACTCCATGACCACCTGCGGTCCTCTCACTCTGTTTCCGTGGAGATTCCTCCACCCCAACACTCCATTTTACTCCAGGTATATATATACATACCCACTGCAGTTTTACTCCATCAGTGGAACCTGAAAATGAAGACACGGCTCTAATGAAAGGGGCGAGATATGATTACATGTACCATAAAAAAATTATGAACTCAACCCTGTGATCTGATTGGTCGATATATCCTTTCCTTGTCTGTAGGAAAACTCATCAGCACCGTCTGGTGGGGCGCAGAGCAGGGTCGTTGCTCCCGGCTACCTAAAGCAGCTGTACCGGGAGTTGCTAGGCAACGACAAGAAGCCCTTCACCAACGCCCCACCCTCTCCCGTCACCTCCAGCACCACCGTTCACACACAAGCCACACCCCCTACGCCAAGCACAACTATCATCAGTCTATCTCCATACGCGGCACAAGATAGCAGTCACTCTTGCGCAACTTGCTCGGAGCATTCTAAAACTTACTCCACTCTCTACATGCTCTCCCAGCGCCTACCCACGTCATGTGGCACCGACGTGATGCTCAGGTGGTATGTGCCGTCGTCTCTGACAAAGTATTGCATAATGGACAAAGAGCATCAAGTTCTGGAGCGGCTGTCCCTGCCGACTACACCGGACAGACCGGATGGAAACTGGTTTGACGAGGTACCGATTTTCTCTCCCTCAGTTGGACGAGCGTCGTCGGCTCTCTTGAATTTTAATCACACTGGGGTCAAAGGTCTCCACGTGGTTGTCACGACGGCGAGTAAGATGACGTCATACATGGGGGCGTGGCAGGATCGTGTGATAATGGCTCTCCCCGACAACCAGACTGTCTGCAAAGGTCGGTCAGTAATGGCGGCATTTTACATACTTCAGTTTTCACCTGAGTCCAAGCAAGTCCCTCGTAGGAAATTTCTTTTGCGGTTGGCCTTAGAAGCACCTTTCTGCACTAGTTGTATATACAGTGCACAGAGCACAGGGCTAGTTTTCAAACACCCTATCAGTTTACTTCCCCCACTGCCAGGTATGATGTACTGTCGACTGAAGGAGTTTCTTCATCACAACTACATCATGAACTGCGAGGCCACGCCCCCTGACACGCCCACTCCGCTCCCTTGGGTCCTCATAATGAGCGACAGCTGTGTCATGTGGAAGAGAGAGGAAAGAGAAGATCATTGGAGGTATATCGACCTGTGCTAATATACAGTGGAACCCCCTCTCTGAAATGAGGACACCTCTCTAATAGTGACAGATTCTTCTGACCCATTAGTGTCAAGATTACGGGGTTTTTACATGTACTTGCTTTACGTCTCTCTGTTAACCCTTTCCTCCCTCTCTTGTAGATCATGTGACCTCTCCTTGACTCACGTGCTTCAGTCATTATCCCAGAGACTAGGCAATGCATCCTCAGAGTATTCCGCAGTCAGTGTGCCTCAATGGACACCTCCTCCCTCCCACCCTCCCCTCTCTCACTTTGACCTCAACCACGACTTTCTCCTCCTCAACATCGCCACGACGACCGATGTACACTACCACACCCACAGTTACGCCAGTTTCGACACCAATTTCAATCTCCAGTTGTTTGTGGGCGGAGCCAGAACCCTTGTCGATTCAGATATCTCCGTCGTTAGGAAACACAATCCGCCTGGCGATGAACCTCGTTTGCATAACAACGTGACTACCGTGGCAACGCCCGATGTGGACTGTATTGCCGTGTCGCTACACGATTCTGTTGCACCCCTCTTTGATTACCCCGGCCCCTACCTGTTAGAGCACTATCTACGAATGAAGTCCCCGGACCTATTCCCGAGCGCCCGTTCCCCCCATACACCCAGTCCTCATGATAGACCATTATGTCAACCTTGGACCTTCCACCCACATCTCCTTCTTCCCCTCCTCCCAACTCCATGGCGACGACAAACAACATCAAGACCACACCCCTCTGCCGGAGGTCAAATTTGGTGGGCTCGTACTCTACCTCTGCGAGGGTCGCGTCTCCAGGCAACAGCTGCAACGACTCCATTTTGTGGACGGAGCCTGTCTGTGTCTGGTGACAGAAAGTTCAGGTAAAGTTTCCACACTGAAAAATTTCCACTTGTTCTGCTTCAGAGGTAAAGTAACAGGCAGAGTAGAGTTATAGTAAAGGCGGAACCAAGGGTCCATTATTGGAGATTAAGTATTACTATATATGGGGCAGAACCTCATTATCATTCAGAGGTCTATCTGTGAGTGCAGGGTCCCTGGTGAGGGAATTGGGGCGACTGGATCTGGAGGACAGATGGAATTCAGACTGAGGGATGAGTACAAGACTGCCTGCTACGACTCACCCTCCTCCAAACCTCTCTTCTTTCTCATTGGTCACTTCGACCATGATGTCACCACTCTAGCCTCTCATTGGTCACTTCAGAATATGAAGTCACCACTCTAGCCTCTCATTGGTCACTTTGGACTATGATCTCATCACTTTTCTTTCTTATCGTCAGACTGTGATGTCATAGTTCTTTGGTCAGTTGGGACTATAATGTCATCACTCACTAGCTTCTCATTGGTCGGTTTTGACAGCCATGATGTAATCATGATGTCATGAAACTGAGCACATTGATTACGCAGCAAATTAATGGAAAAGCCTCTGCGTGTGACTTATCACTGGTCTCTTGTCCTATTTTTTCATAAAATGGAGGGCTAACATTATTTCAGTAATGAAGTGATGTGGTGAGAGGATGCTATAGTTTGAGATGGTATAGTCACAGCTCTCTCCTGTAGCTGTCCACATACATCCACCAACCTAGAGTTGTAGGGGGAAAAAGGGAAAAAAACCAGTCACTTTTCGATCCATAATGCAGTTCATGTAGCCCTCAGCAAAAAGCCATATTATCGTTATACTCATGACATACATTACGTAATCCATCGACGTATATTATTATGCACATGGAGATTTGTCGACTCAGTCAGTCGGTGAAAGAAGAATGAGGCAGAAACTGGCAGTACCTGCGTCACACATGCTGCAAAGGCTAGCAACACGACCAGTGCGGCTGGCATGCCTCGTATTCTACACAGTAGGCCAGTGCCTATAGCCCAAGTCATTATAATACCAGGTCTGCAGGGGAGGACTGAGTCTTGGCAGTGAGCCGGCATCAGTTGAGGAGCAGTCTGTCTTCAATGTATGAATGAGTCTCAATGTCTTTCTTGATGTCTGGGAACAGTGCTGTCTGACTCACACATTGGCTGGAGTGTGAGTGAGGAGAGAGGAGGAGGGGAGAGAGGAGAGGAGGAGGTAGAGTATTTTTGCTTGAGATCTGGAGTAGGTTGAACACTACTCTTCAACCACGTGAAACTGGCACTGTCTCTGACTCCAATGTGCAGTCGTGCACACTGTATACTAAACTATCCAGACACCAATGGGAGAAGAGAAGTGTCCATATTAAGTGAGGTGTCCTTATTTTCAAGGAGTTTGAAAGAACTGTTCTTGGGTAACGAGGTGTTATCATTAGAGAGGTGTCCTCCTGTATTTCCAGACACTTCTCTCTATTACAGTTGTCCTATTATACTAGTGTCTGGATTAGAGGAGTTTCCGTGGCTCACGTATAGCAGGGCAGTCTGGTGGGCGATGTACTTGTGTGAAGATGACAGTTGTACGTCAGCACTCAGCTGCTGGGCCAGAGCTAGTACCGTGTGCAGCTGGGACAGCTTTGTCAGGTAGCCTGAGAGGAGAGAGAGAGTGAGTTGAGAGAAACCTACCTTACCTTAAAACCTCACTCTAAGGACACCCCTGAAATGAGGACACCTCTCTAATAAGGAGTAAGGACACCCCTGAAATGAGGACACCTCTCTAATAAGGAGTAAGGAGTAAGGAGTAAGGACACCCCTGAAATGAGGACACCCCTCTAATAAGGAGTAAGGACACCCCTGAAATGAGGACACCCCTCTAATAAGGAGTAAGGACACCCCTGAAATGAGGACACCTCTCTAATAAGGAGTAAGGACACCCCTGAAATGAGGACACCTCTCTAATAAGGAGTAAGGAGTAAGGACACCCCTGAAATGAGGACACCCCTCTAATAAGGAGTAAGGACACCCCTGAAATGAGGACACCTCTCTAATAAGGAGTAAGGACACCCCTGAAATGAGGACACCTCTCTAATAAGGAGTAAGGAGTAAGGAGTAAGGACACCCCTGAAATGAGGACACCCCTCTAATAAGGAGTAAGGACACCCCTGAAATGAGGACACCCCTCTAATAAGGAGTAAGGACACCCCTGAAATGAGGACACCCCTCTAATAAGGAGTAAGGACACCCCTGAAATGAGGACACCTCTCTAATAAGGAGTAAGGACAGACACCCCTGAAATGAGGACACCCCTCTAATAAGGAGTAAGGACACACCCCTGAAATGAGGAATAAGGAGTAAGGACACCCCTGAAATGAGGACACCTCTCTAATAAGGAGTAAGGACACCCCTGAAATGAGGACACCCCTCTAATAAGGAGTAAGGACACCCCTGAAATGAGGACACCTCTCTAATAAGGGGTAAGGAGTAAGGACACCGCTGAAATGAGGACACCTCTCTAATAAGGAGTAAGGACACCCCTGAAATGAGGACACCTCTCTAATAAGTACATATATTAAAGCATAGGGTCTTGCGGTTGAGGCTTTAGACCTACTGTATCTTTTTGGTTCACGTCACCATTTTTAGAGTGTAAAAAACATATTACTATAAAAGCTCAGTGGGACAGACAGTTAGGTGATGCAGTAGCTCACAGTCCACGAGGCCAGTATCGACTCTGACTAGGTCCTGATCTGGCTCCTGCAGACACAGCTCCACTCTTGGGAACACCAGACCCAGCCCACTCTCTCTTAGGTAACCCTGCATCATAATTGACCCATTATGTAATCCATAAAATCATTATTTGCGGGGAGAAAAGGCCACAGCACCATTATTACCTCTAAGTCGAGGTCAGAGTCTGCCAACTGCTCAGCCATCTGGTCCAGAAGACTGGCAACTCTGGCTGGCAACTTCTGCTGAAACGTGACTCTCCTCTCTCTACCACCTCCCTGCGATGGAGAGAGGAAAGAAAGGACAAGTTGCCTCAATTTTTCTGGCAATCTCTACAAAAATCGGCAGACCTTCTTGATATACAGAGATTAAAAGAAACTAATTTTTGTCTGAAGCCAACTAGTGCACTGGTAATACCAGTGCACTCAGCACTCAGCCACATGTCCCAAACAAAAGCTGTTTCCTTCTCTTCCCATGTTGCAGGTCTGGCCAGACCGACATGAGTGGCAACACACCTCGTCCTGGAGATATGACATCACAATTGTAGCATCCAGTTGAAGACAAAATGACATCATATTGGTAGTGAGGCCACGCCCCCGTCCCTCCCCCCACACAGGTTGGTCCAAGTACACTGGGACTGCAGGGAAAGTAACAATATGAACACTGACAGGATTTTGGGAGAAGCTCTCATCTGCAATATTATATACCTCTGTAGCTGGGATCGAAGCAGTGAAGAGTGGTTAGTGGCTTGGGAGCCAAAGGCAACGATCGCATAGCACACATCTCGGAGTTTGTGTTCTAATTAACCGCACCGCAGTGTAATTTTGAATTATTGTACTATGTGCTCTAATTACCCGCGACGCTGTGAAATGTTGAACAACTTTATTGTGTGCGCGCGCAAAACTTTGTGTGTGCGTCTCTCTTCGACGCGCTCACGGGCAGTTGCTGGCGCCCTGGATGCAGAGTTTGGCGGGTAAAGAGAGAGGAAGTGGCGGGAAATGACGGGCGAGACGTCATGGACGGAATGTGCCACACAGGTAGACTGTCCTATCTCTTTTTCTGTGGTTTCACCCCAGTTTGACCTGTCTGCCTGTCTGGCTGGTTGCTGTGTGTGTCTGTAGGTAATGGAGGAGAAGGAGGAGGTGTGGTTCACTGTGCAAGCCATCGTGAGCGAGATACGAGACAGGAACATGAAACCAAGCATGCACCAGTGAGACTGTCGCTATAGTTTCCCCCTTCGCCCTCCCTCCCTCCCTCCCTCCGTCGCTGTTTGCCCTCTTTTCCCCTATTTTACCATTCCCTCCTGCCCTTGCTTTCTCTGTTCCATTCAACTCGTTCTCTCTCCCCCTCCCCTCCTCCCTCTCCCTCTAGTATGCCAATCAGCGAGGCCTGTCGTAGTCTGAGGTCCTGCCTCCGACATCACGCTAAGAAAGAAAACGGAAGATTTGTGAGAAGAAACAGCGACACTCTCATCCAGTATGCCCTCAGAAAGGTCAGCAATAACACTTTGTTTTATAAAACTCTTGCAGTGTGTAGGGAACTTTGCTGGTCACACTATATGTAAAAGCGTAGTTGGCCACTAAATTTCACTGACCTCCATTTGTGAAGGAGGTTGAGAAAGTCTTTTTAACATTCTCTGATTTTGTGTGCACAAATTTCATTGTCCCTCAACCTCTCCACAGGGCGTAGAACGTAAGAAGAGATCTGTCCAGACGGCCAGAAGGTCTGCAAAGCTCCATCGACCTCCTGACTCCGCCCCCCAGAGCATAGTGGGCGTGGCTTCCTCTGGGGGCTCAGTGGGCGGGGCTGTTGTTGTTCAGGTTGACAGCCCAGATGAATTCTTGGCTAAGACTAACAGGTACAGATGGAGATGTGAGGTATAAAGGTTGAGTGAGAATGGTTTTGAATTGAGGTAATAAGAGGGAAGAAAGTTTGGAGTGAGATATTAGGGGAATGTTGCATTCTAGTGTCAATAATAATATTATAATGACGCCATGATTCTATGTATGTGTATGTTCTCCACCCTACTATTTCCCCACCCCCAGACCAAGGCAGATGTCCAGAGACTCAGCCACGGGGTCCTCTGCTGGGTTCCTGCTCCCGTCTCCCACCAGCTCCCTCCTCGGGCCGCGACGAACCCTCAGTCTCCTGACGGCTGGCGAGACCAGCAGCAGTCGACCTGTCAGGAAGACGAGGGGTCGGGCTCCTCGAGAGAGGGCCAGAGACAGAGCGCTCGTCAAGATAGAGGAAACAGCCTCCAGCGACATCGGGTCAGTCTCTGTCAAGTTGCATGGGTATTGGCTTGGAACTAACGAGGGGGAAACCCTGGGATTTCCCCTCCTGTAGACCCTCTTCCCCAGTGGAGATTTGACAGGAAATAGTCCACAGATTTCCAGTGTCTCGCATGCACACAAACTAACAATAAGGTGCAGGAAGCAGGTTAAGGTTATGTCTGAAACAGGTTTCTTAGCCAAAATGCACATGTATTCTCTCCAAGACCCACTACGTTGCTACCTCCGTCTTCCAGGTTCCCTCCGCGATCTCTCCCTGAACCTGAGGAGCTGAGTCCACTCCTCGCCAGAGACGGATGGTCTGTGGCTTTTCTCAAGTCTCATTACCAGCAGTCAGTGGGCGGGGCCAAGTGTGGCCACACCCCCAACCCTCCTCCCTCTCATGTTCAAGGTCAGAACTAATTTGAGTACACAGTGGACCCTCCAAATAAGGACACATCACACTTGCGAGATGAGTGGAATGAGATACAGTACAGTAGTGGGAACTTTTTTTGCCGTGTACTGTAGGAGAAAAGACGAAAGATTAGGAAACAGTTATTTTAGTTTCTTCTCACAGGTGATCGTGCTGTAAGTCGTGTCCTGTGTGAGGTGAACCCTGATCTCCCCGTGACCTCCGACCTCAGCAGCAGCTGCGATGACAGCGAGACCGATACCTGCAGCGAGACTGAGACCACACCCACTGAAACCATGGAAATCACATATCTTCCCCTCCCAAGGTGCTAATCGACCCCAACTCCCCCCACACCTCCCCTCCCTCTCCTCATCCTCACCACATAAGCAAGCCCCACCCCACTCTGTTGCCATGGCAGCTAAGAGGTCGGAGGTCAGCCGGCAGCTGGCATTCCTTCTCTCTACCTCGTCACCTCTGGTTGGAGAAAACCTCAAGGTTTGTAGCGAGACCAGTACAGTGGGCGTGGCACCTGTGAGGCTGCTGATCCTAATTAGTGAGGTTTCCTGTTAAATTGCATGCAAGAACGGAAAAGGTGTCCTTATTTGGGAGGTGTCCTCATTTCAGGGGTATTCTTAGAGTGTGTATGTAATTTCTCCCATTTATCAGTATACATCTCTGGCTGCACTGTGCAGGTTCTGCTGGGTCAAAGATCATTTGAAACTCTCTCCCAGTCTCAGAGACAGTGTCTGAAGCAGCTGCTCCCCTCTGTAGACAGGGACACCACTGACAGGTACACTCAGACGTATCTATACGTCGTCATGGTGGTGCCGCTAGAGCTACCTTGGAACACCCAAATTCTCTCTGTGGAGGTTCCATAATACTATTGTACGAATGCTCTCTTGCTCTAGGTTGCAGCCGGTTGCCCTTAACAACTCGTTCTTCGGCAGTGCCTGTCGAGAGTGGCAGGACCAACTGGCACTTGGTCTCCATGGCAACAGCACTGGTGGTCGTCGTGGCGACAAGAAACCTCGCAACTGTGGCGACTGGAAGGACAAGTACTTTGAGTCAGAGTGGGGTCAAAGGTAAAGGAACATCTTGGTACAATTTTCATTTTACATTCTTATACCACTGTGTTATACATGTTTGTGTCTGTGTGTGTGTGCAGGCAATGTAAGGTGGAGAAAAGTGACGCCATTTTCTTTCCTCGTGACCACGATCCTCCACTCTCTCACACCCTCTCCTCCATCCTCAGTGGTTTCAACTCTCGCCGTGCTGCCCTCTCCCCTCCTCCTGCCCCTCCTCCTTCTCGACCACAACAAAAACCTGTGTCAAAACCATCGACGAGCAAGTCTGTTTGCTCTGTGAGACAGCGCTCTCCTCACACCCGCCACGCCTCATCTGCCGTCAGATCTAAGAGAGATTCTCACAATCCACGAAACAACTTCAGAATTCTCTCTCCGTCGTCAAGGAAACCTGTCACTAGTCGGAACCACCTGGTGCTCTCTAATAAGAACAGGATCTCCTCGCGTTCCTCGTTTCTCAGTCCACTCCCTCACAAGATGTCGTACACAGCTCTAATTGATGCACTCCACAAGGCATCTCGCAATAACAACACCAGTTGGGCTCTACATCTCTATGCCAACCCTGCAAACTCTGATGTCTCTCCTCTCCACGTGCAACACACAAACTCCGTCTTCCACGATCATTTCTCAACTCTTGCCTCTCCCTCCGTCCCCTCTGCCTTCCTCTCCTCCTACCCCCTCGTCGTCTCTCTCCCTCTCTCTCTCCACACCAACCTCCTCCGGCAGCGAGTCGTACTCTCCGATCACAACTACACACCTTTGACCTCTGACTCCCAGCCTGCTTCTCTTCCTCTCTCTCTCCCTCGGTCCCTTCTCCCCTCTCCCCCTCCTCACACCCTCTCCTCGTGCTCCTCACGTAAACTGGCTCTCTGCTCTACCTGCAACTCTCTCTATCATCTCAACTGTTCCCATGGAAACCTCTGCCCAAGCTGCACCAGACCGTTGTCATGACAACAATGTATATATTGAAATGTGTGTATATATGTACCAAACGAGATTTATGATTTCCTCTTCAGCAAAGGATCTTCACATGCAGCGATATCATTGCAACAAATCCTTGCCACCATTTTAATTGTCGCCAGCAAACATACATGTGCACATGCTGATTCAGCACAACACAGAAATTGAAAGTTCAATTGCGCTTCATGTATTATTGTTGGTGCACCTCCGCACATTAGTACGTGATGAAGTAGGCGCTAATGATTGGCGCATGGGGCTATTAGGCATGTGTGTGTATATACGTGTGGAGAGGGGATTTCGCGGCGGCGCGCGCTCCCCCCAAGGGGACCTCCATATCTCATTTCCCCTGTCCGGCCGGTCCTCTGGTCCCTCCTCCACCTCCCTCTCCTCTCTCGCCCCCTTCACTGCGACCACACCGGCCGTTCCTGGAACCCCCCATCTCCTGCCACACCGAAGACTCGAGCTACAAACCGTGTCCTGGAATCGTCGAACAACTAACTCGCGATGTACTCTTCAGAGGTCGCTGATAGAGAAGTGGCAGCGGCCTTCACGGACCAACAGCGTCTTGGTCTGACCATGCCTCAGGTGATGGTCCTAGACGGCCGACTCCTGGCGTTATTGGCAATGTATTGAGAATATTTATGTGATTTTGGCTGAATATGTATGTGCAGGTCCGCGCGACTGGAACTTCCACCACTCCGCATTACACAATCATTGACATGGTGAGTGAAGGACTCCACTCTGCCCGCCTCATTCCTGGCCCTGCCCCCTTTCCTCCAGGATCGCTCAGACGATGAAGAGTCGGACCACGCCCCTGACCAGTTGCTCCCGGCAACGAGAGGGCGAGTCTCGCCGTCTCCATACACGGCAAACACGGAGAGAGCTAAGCAGTTCAATGTCAGTATAATATGCACACCATTACTAGATGCTGAGGGGGCATTGGTAGTGTATACATTAAGAAACCTCTGATGAAGAACGCTGTAACTACAGTTTATATACCAACCAACAAGACCGCACGAACCACCTCTTGAAATGAGGTGAAATGATATTAGCATTGATTGAAGAGTACCAAACGCCTCTGCAGCCAAAGTTTACTCTCTTCTACGGTCTACATACATACATACTACATACATACTACATACAGCCACAATCTGTACATAATGTCACGTAGTGTTCGCAGTGTATGGTTGGTGTATTACCGAACATGGGCTGAGTCTAGTGAGTGGAAATGTGACGAGGGGAATTTCTAATTTCTAACTGGTCTGTTACACTATATACTACTACTTACAGTGAAACCTCTGAATAAGTGGGGGACTTCGAAAGTGTGGCCCTTATTTGGAGGTTACAAACATATGCAAGAACTCTGGTACAATAACTATTTACTGCATAGCTTTCTGTAGGCGATCGTGTATATACACTGTGGATAGGAACCCCTTGCCAAGGACACCTCTGAAATGAAGACACCCTTTCTTTCCCCAAGAAAAGTTCTTGCATGAAATTCAATCCCTCAAATAAAGACACCCATGGATACTTACGTTCCATTGGTGTCCAGATTAAAGGAGTTCCCCTGATATTCCCCTCCCTCCCTCCACTAGACGTACGTCAGAGGAGTGATAGAGCAGAGACTGGATGTTCTGATCCCCATCTCCCATCAGCCTCGCGAGCTGGTCTCCCAGATCATCGCGGACGCCAGTTCCAAATTCCCCGAGTTCTCCACCTGTGTCCGCAAGAGGATCAGGACATTTCTCAAGTCATACAGACGGTCGCGGAAAGTGAGAGATCACCACACAACTCCCAATGGAATGGGAACTTCCCCGAGGAGTCAGGTGATCATCTTGTACCACACACACCCTCTACACACACAAATTGACTTAACCCCCGAAATGACCAATATTGACGTTTTCTTCTGTCCAATCGGTGCAAGTTTCTCATGTGTTAGTAATGATCTCTAATTGTAGGAGCCCTCCCCCGTCCCCACCCCTCCGCCCATTGTTTCCATGGCAATGGGGCCGTCGTCCACGGAGCCCACACAGCTACTGGATGAAGCCGTTCTGCCATCGTCCCCTCCCTCCCCCTCCTCCCCACCTCCACACATCACACTCGCCGATACAAAGAGGATAAAACTAGACTCCGTGGCAACTGGCGTTGTCGGTAGCGATAGGCCACACCCCCTGGCAGCTCCTGCTTCCTCCTCGTCCTCCCTCTCAGGGTCAGAGGTCACTGCAGTCCGACAACTCATTTCCGGTCAGTCCAGTTTTACTAGTGATGATGTCATTACTGGTAAACCTCAGAGAAAGGACCCTCGTCCCTCTGAATATATATCTCTATTGAGGACACTAGTCTTAGTTCTTCATATTGTAGTACAGTGTGCCAGAAATATATCGTTCAATACACTACCGTTTGTACATCCTCTTTGGCAAAAACTGGATTTTCAGTCCACAAGGAAAGTGGCAGATTCTATCCGCCATCAGTTTTTATTTTATTTTTTCAAAGTCCTCCTCTCCATTGTTGCCTAGGTTACCGGGAATCTGCGGGGTTCTTGTTGCGAGCGGCAGACCAGCTGGAGGCCATGTTGGCCAGTAAGGAGAACTCCAATTAACGCCCCCCACCACCCCTCGGACTGTGTGTGTCGGTGTGTGCTACTGTGCAACATTCACTGATGGAACTCTTGTGTGCCAACTACATACACAACATTCCCGCGTTCTCCTGTTTTTTAAATTTCTGTTTGTCTGTGTGAGTGTCTATGAGACATGGTCTGAAACTGCTGTGTGTCTGAAATCACTGTATATATTGTGTGTTTGTGTGCGTGATAAAAGAAAGTTTGACTGGTTTTTTTACATTTTCACTGGAGCACGTGTCACAGCCTTTCGCTGTGTGCAATGTTAGCCTTTAGTTCATCCTTTTGCTGGTGGAGTACAATAAGAGGTGCATGCATAAAAACAAGTTTGACTGGTTTTCATAACACGTCGACTCAGTCTCATCGTTTCTTGGAGCGAGGTTTCATCTCTTCTTGTACAGACCTCAGGAAAATAGAGTTTTTCTTCTGAGTGGAGTGGTGCTCGTGACCCTGCGCACGGGAGTAAAAGGTTCCTTCCCCATTTTTACAGGACAGAAGATGCAAGATATAAGAGTGTATATAGTGGGCATCAGGGGGAAGTTCTGACAATGACCATCTGAGCACACCAACACTAGTGGCATACCAACCTTGGACCAGTCATAGCTGACGGAGTAGGCACAGATATTGCCATTGCAGTTGAAGGCACATGAAGATATCGGCTGATCCATCGCTTCCGAAGTCTTCAGTTTCGTTCGAGCATCTTTGTCCCAGAAACTGAACTTCCCGTCGCTACCCACCGTTGCTAGGGTGTTGTGAACTGGATGGAAGGCAATGCAGTTAACCTGCGGCGGAGGAAAGCGAAAAAATTAATGTGAAAAATAGGTTCTCCACTTCAAAATGTTTACAATGAAACACTGAAAAAGGGAAACTTGTGGTACATCGCAATTGTCCTTATTCAGAGATGTCCTTTCAATTGCTAGTATGGGGCAGAACCAATAGAGATGTGTCCTCCATCGTATGACTGATTTTAACCCCTGTGTGACCGATTGCCACACCGTATGACTGATTTTAACCCCTGTGTGACCGATTGCCACATCGTATGACTGATTTTAACCCCTGTGTGACCGATTGCCACACCGTATGTATGACTGATTTTAACCCCTGTGTGACCGATTGCCACACCGTATGACTGATTTTAACCCCTGTGTGACCGATTGCCACACCGTATGACTGATTTTAACCCCTGTGTGACCGATTGCCACACCGTATGTATGACTGATTTTAACCCCTGTGTGACCGATTGCCACACCGTATGACTGATTTAACCCCTGTGTGACCGATTGCCACACCGTATGACTGATTTTAACCCCTGTGTGACCGATTGCCACACCGTATGTATGACTGATTTTAACCCCTGTGTGACCGATTGCCACACCGTATGACTGATTTTAACCCCTGTGTGACCGATTGCCACACCGTATGACTGATCAGTCAAATCAAAGTACACACAGCAACTCACTGCAAATATGTCTTGTGTCTGGCCAGGTCCAGTGACTGCCGATCGATGACACTTGAACGTGAAGTTATCCTTCGCCCTAGAGGGAGGGAGGGAGGGAGGGAGGGAGGGGAGATAAAAAAACGAGGGTAATCTACTTCTCTGCTCACGGATTTGGAGGGTTGGCGTAGTGGATGGCAACCCTGCCTTCGATGGAGCCGAGAGCAAAGCCAGTCGGCAGACCTTGTTTCTCCTTGAAGATGCAGACACAGCGATGTTGGTACTTCAGCGGACTGTCAATCTTCTGTTGGGAGGGAGAGAACGATTGAGAATATGAACACATTCTTTTGTTTCTGCTCTTGTTGCTAAAATAAAGTGCACATATGCAGGCATTATATTCTGCCTCTGTTCGTGAATGGAATCAAGTCACAGTGTACTCTCACACATGTAAGCAACTCTACGGTACTTGAAGCACCCAAACCATGGTCTTTATACAGAACTGAATTGTTAATGGATTGAAGGGGAAGAGATAGAAAAAACTCACGCGGTACTCTGCGGGTCCTCCCTCCAGAGTATATATAATGAGACCTCTAGAGGCGGTCCCCACCACCGCCATGGGGTACATGACATCCATGCAGTAGGCCCTCTCAGGAAGCTGCAGCTGTCCCACGGGGGTCTGCTGCCTCAGGTCCCAGAACTGGGGGTGGGGGCGGGGCCAGGATCAGGCAACACTAAACCATCCCAAAACATTTCTCACAGAGAAAGCTAATGATTGATATGAAATTGTTCTCTCCTTAAAAGTTTCCCGCTATAGAGAGAGACCAGTACTTTTCGCTTCTAGGGACAAAAATCTGTAACCTCTCTTGCACCTATACATATCTTACCATTACATCATTAACAAAATGCACTTCCCTGACCTGGGGGCGAAGCACAGACCTTAAGAGTCTTGTCCCAAGAGGCAGTGAGAATGCAGGAGTAGTTGGGAGCCTGTATCCAGGCAACGCTCTTGATAGGTGCGTCGTGAATGGCAACGGGTGTGGCCTGGTTGGTCTGTAGATCCCACACCTTACACGTCTTATCACACGAGGCCGTGAACACTTTCGTACCGTCCTTTAGGTATGAGGGGATGGGGAGAGAACGCCAGGAGAGGAAGAGATGTGGAGGGAGAGATATGTGTAGAGGAAGGGAGATAGGAAAGTCGTAATGCCAGACAATAATTTTAAAGTACTGCAGAAAAGATCAAAGTGAAAAATAGTAACAAAATCTCTCTAAAACACGAAAAACCTGCTAAATAGTTGCCCAATGTTGTAGCTACTGAGACCACTCACCACATGCCAGCAGCAATCGAGGACTGGAGCCGAGTGGTTCTGCTCAGCCTTTGCCTCACTCTGACCGTTCTCCTGCACCTCCCAGCAGCGGACCTGCGGCAAACACACACTCCTTATTATAATACTGACAATGGATTGAAGTCCTCCGTGTAAAGACCCTCTATATAGCTGCTAGTGCATTCAGCTACTCACGTTGTTGTCCCAGGACGAAGCTATGAGGTAGTTGGCAGTGGGAGAGAAGGCCAGTTTACTAATAGAGTCGTTTGGAGGCTGCGTGACGGCAATATCTTTGTTCGGGTTTTGAGCTGCGCTCCCTCCTGAGAACGCTGAGCTGCCAAACATCTTTCTCGTTGCTGCCTTACGCCACGCCCACAAATACAGATTCGCGCATGCGCAAAATCGCTGTGTCATGTCCATCTTGATCTGTAATCTTACGGTGCGGCTATTAGTAATCTTACTGTCAGGCTAGTAATCTTCATCTGTAATCTTACTGTCAGGGCTAGTAATCTTGCTCTGTAATCTTACTGTCAGGCTAGTAATCTTCCTCTGTAATGTTACTGTCAGGCTAGTAATCTTCCTCTGTAATGTTACTGACAGGCTAGTAATCTTCCTCTGCAATCTTACTATCAGGCTAGTAATCTTCCGCTAAACATCTCTTTCTCCCTTGCCTTGTTGCTGCCTTATGCCACGCCCACAAATACAGATTCGCGCATGCGCAAAATCGCTATGTCATGTCCATCTTGCTCTGTAATCTTACAGTGTGGCTATTAGTAATCTTCCTTGGTTAGGAAACGTACAGTCAGGCTTGTAATCTTTCTCTGTAAACCTACAGTGAGGCCAGTAATCTTCCTACAGTCGACAGGCTGTATTATGGAAAACAAAAGAGCTAAGGCAACACGTACGATGCATTCTGAGTCAACAGCGTATGCTAGATTAAAAATTGATAATAATAATAATAATTATCTTATAATTATTACTATAGATCATGGAATCGCATGTGATACAGTCATCTCAATCTAGCATTCCTGAGACACGAAACAACTGCATCAAACAATAGTTTGGAGTTCTTGGCCACCACGTGGGCAGCTGCCAGCATTTCTTTCTGATAAACCTCCTCCAAGAACGTGTTGGCGTTCTTCTGGGCTGCCTTCATGGCTGTTATCAGCTGGTTGAAGTCTGAGCTGAGGACTTTCTGTGCCATGTCCATCTGTAGATTATCAAAAGAGTTGGCAGTATAATATTATGGTCTGTATGGTTCCCACTGCGCACACGCAAAACAACTTTACAATGAGCGTGATACTATTTCCATTGTTCCATGTTTGCTGTAATGCTGTTAATCTGTCAATTGAACATTTAATAATTCTGACCTCGTGGTGTGACTGGACTGGAATCTTCCGTCTAATGCCATCAACTGTATGTAGCAACTCCCTCATCGCCATGCCAACACCCTACACAAAACAAACAGCTGGTAAAGCATGGAATGACAGAAAACATGAGATCATAATAATGTAACAAGGTCACATGATGTCATGTGATCCACACACCTTTACGAGCTCCAAGTACTCGTCAGGAGGAGAGAGAGACACGCGATGGCTCAATTCCATTACTGCCTTCACCACATTCGTCACTTTACCAAGCACTTCTTCCTCTCCCACCGCCTCCCCCACTTCTCCTTTCTCCTCCATCTCCCCACTCACCCCTACCTCACCCTCACGGCTGGACTCAGACCCCGTGATAGAGCCATGCCCACTTCCCCTGGAGCTGACAAACTGTCCATCCTCTCGCAGACTCCGTACTCCGTCCTCCGGGATGGAGTAATATACTCCACCAGACGGGGTAGATTCAGTAGGGGCTCCCTCGTTTCCCCGCAGAAGAATGGAGGGAGGCGGGATGGGTGCTATGGCAACGGGGTGACAGGGACTCTCGGAGCGACGAAGGTCAGAGGTCATCTGAGGGGCGGGGCTGTCGCCATGGGTGATGGTTGTCACGGAGTATGGGACAATGGGCGGAGGGTTTGCACGGAGTTGAAGAACAGGTTCGGGAGGTATTTCTGGAGAGATGCGACGAGGAGGCTTAGGGGGTGGAGTCTCGCTGCCGTTGGTGTGGGGAGAGGGGGTGTGGTCACGGGGATGAGGGGAGGGGGAGATTTCTCTGAATCTTGTGGCAATCCTCGGAGGAAGTGCAGGGCTCTGCAGATGAGGAAAATAACAGTACCTCTCTTGCACCTATACATATCTTACCATTACATCATTGACAAAATGCACTTCATACATGTATGTATACAGTGATAGGAGAGTGTGGTGGGGTATATACTTACGTCGTCAAGGTTACCAGACATGCGGTTGTGTTGCCAGGTTTCTTCATCTGATAACAGAGAACTTCTCTTCACCTGAACAAATATACACCAATTAGGACAGGGAACATACAAGGCATTATTGTATACAAGTGTGAAATGCATGCATGTGACGTGTGAAGTACAATGCATGCATGTGACGTGTGAAATGCATGCATGTGACGTGTGAAGTACAATGCTTGCATGTGACGTGTGAAATGCATGCATGTGACGTGTGAAGTACAATGCATGCATGTGACGTGTGAAATGCATGCATGTGACGTGTGAAGTACAATGCATGCATGTGACGTGTGAAATGCATGCATGTGACGTGTGAAGTACAATGCTTCATGCGCTATACATGTAACAATAGACCATCTGACCATCTGCACACCTGCATGAAGCCTTGTGAGGAGTGAGGTCTGTAGGGAGGCTTCTCAGGGGCGTAGTCAGTGGGTGGGGCAGTGGGCGGGGCCCGACGTGACGTCAGACTCTCCAGTTGTCTCTCCTCCTCCAGCACGTCAGCAACCGTTGCCTCAATGTCACGGAAATAGGGTCTCTTCTCCGGTTCGTAAGACCAACAGCGGTTCATGAGACTAAACAGAGGGGCAGGCGTATCCGCGGGCAACGGGAGCCTCTCTCCCAGCTCTATCTTGGAGATGACCTCATCATTCTTGATCCCCACAAATGGCTTGACCCCTCTCATCATTATCTCCCAGCAACAAACCCCTGGACATCATTGGATTGGTATAAAAGTCAACACATCTACTCTACCATTATTGCCGAGCGCGTTAGCGTGAGGCAACTACTCCGGGTTGTATTCTCGCGATATGCGTACGTACGTGTCGTCACGCTTAAGAATGTCAATTAGTCACTATTAGGAAGTGTAACTTCCGTCATTCGTAGGAAGTCTAGCTTCCGCCTTGCGCGCAGATTCGTAGGAAGTCTGGCTTCGCGCGCGCGCTCTCAGTCGGACTGTTTACGGCGCGAGGCAAAATATGCGCGTGCACATTCCTAGTAAATTATGATGATGATGAACGTGGATGTTGGCAGACTACACAGTAACAGGGGCAGTACAGTACATTTCGGGCTCTCTCTCTTTACTCCTAGAAAATCCCATTATTAAACGGGATGACATATCCGTGGATTGCGCAGCAGTCTTACCAAACATCCATACGTCACTGAGTCCAGTGAACCGTCTGAAGTTAATACTCTCAGGAGCCATCCACTTGATAGGCAGCTTCCCTCTCGACGCTGCATGAAGAGGAGGTCACATGACAATCATATGATCATTACATGACTATAGTTAGTGTGTATTAATGTCAGAGGTTCACAGCATGCACAGAGTGTACTACAGTACAGTAAGGTATATACTACTGCTGACCGACGTAATAGTTTCCATCCTGCAGTCCTCTACTGAGACCAAAGTCAGCCAGTTTTACAACCTCTGGAGTTGTCACCAACACATTCCTGTGGGCAGAGACCACACCCACTTTGTTACATCACTGACTTCAAATCATAGCTATTACAATACACTGTCACTCTGTAATCTTACAGTCAGGCTAGTAATCTTACCCTTAAGTGCTAGTAATCTTCCTCTAATCTTATGGTCAGGCTAGTAATCTTGCTCTGTAATCTTACTGGCAGGCTAGTAATCTTGCTCTGTAAACTTACTGTAAGTCTAGTAATCTTCCTCTGTAATCTTACTGTCATGCTACTAATCTTGCGCTGTAAACCTAAAGTCATGCTAGTAATCTTGCTCTGTAAACTTACTGTCAGGCTAGTAATCTTCCTCTGTATTCTTACTGTAAGACTAGTAATCTTGCTCTGTAATCTTATGGTCAGGCTCGTAATCTTCCTCTGTAATCCTACTGTCATGCTAGTAATCTTCCTCTGTAATGTTACTGTAATCTTACGTAAGCTAGTAATCTTCCTCTATGCACTGAGTTCCACAGTACAGTAATGAGAGGGGATTCCCCACCTGGCGGCGATGTCGCGGTGGACGTAACTCTTGGCCTCCAGGTGAACCATGGCAGAGGACATCTGGTGTATGTACTGGAGGAGGAGGAGTTTGGAGATCCTCGAACCTTCACTCAGGAGATAGCGACGCAGCTGGCGGGAGTGACAGGTGTATAATACAGTTCACAAAGAAACTATAGCAGTGAAAGCGGTCTAGTTGTTGAAACTTTAACCACTGAATAAAGACTCTTCTCTCTGAAGGTTGTTGTGCCTCATACTAATGTGTGTATAATGTACTATGTACCATACTTAGTGGGGAACAGATTTGGTCCACAGATGCCCCATAACATGGAATCACATGACAGTCACATGACTACCTGTCCGAGTGGTGCCAGTTCCATGACGATGCATGTCTGCCTCTCGTGAGACACCACTCCAAAGAGCTTGATGATGTGAGGATGATCAAACTTCTTCATTACCGCTGCAAGCAGAGGGAAAAGGTATGTATGAAACTATGAGAGAAGATACCTGGTTAATTATAGCCTATAATCCAAGTATCAAAATGCGTGTCCGTGACAAATTAGATATTCCTGAGTTATTTGTGTCGTGTAAATATGTCCATTTCCTCTTACAGTTACACGGTGAAATTCTCTGCAATTACAACCATGAAAACATCATAATTATGACATGTATGCTGGGAGACAGCTATTGCAGGAAAACATGTGTGCAGGTAACTAGAGAACAGAGCAAACATTCTAATACATAACTCTGCCTCATATTATGTCATTGAATTGAAGTACACTGTACAGTTATTGAGCCAAATAAAGGTCAAATTCTCATTTCATTGACTGAATTGTGTGATTTTAAGTAGGCATATTTACTTGTATAGAAGGGTACTGTCAGCAGACTGCAATGCTTTATGCAGTCTTAAACACTCGTTAAACTGCTAAAATTTCGCAATTGGGATTTTTCATTTTGTACACAAACAAGAATCTTGAGAAATTCCAGGTTTATTGCACATCTCCTACAGCGCATATGTATTGGCAGCTCGACAGTGCAGTAAACCAGGGGACACCTGTTCTCTAAGAATAACTTGTGTCAACAGTTCTCACAAGCAATGACACCTCACTAATATTTTCTGCCCCACTAAGTGTCCAGAGAGGTACAGTATACCAAGAGAGGGGGTTTGGCAGGGAGCCCAGGGCCCGGCCTGACACCAGACCAGCCACCATGATCATATGGTCTGACACACTGTCATACCAACACGTCACTACCTAACATGGATGCAGTGGCTGGCTCCTTCTGGCAAACACCCTCTAATTGTATGTATACCGTACTACCGTAATTATGTCCCTACACAAAAGTATAATATGTTCCATACATAAGGTCTGTACAATGTAGATTCATAGGTAGTAATGCGTAGCTAGTAAGTCGGACGCAAGCAATGTTCATATTTGACAGTGCTGCCTCCTCCCTCTCTTACCGGCTTCCTCAAGAAACTTGACTCTGCCTTCATGTGAGGCGTCTGGTTTGCATGTCTTTATAGCCACAGAAACTTCATCCCTCGTCTAAGTGGGAGAGACAACAGATTGAAACTGAAATTAGTCCACAGAGAGTGCTATACTAATATCTTCCTCCTTCCTTCCCTCCCTCCCTCTCTCTCTCCCCATCTCGTCTTTCCCTTCTTCCTCTCACTCAGCGTGCTGGTAATTAAGATGCACTACACCTCTATTAGAGTGAGTTAGCAGCTCTACCACAACCCGTCCACACAGCCCCCACTTCATTACACCACTGCCAGGCACCACTATACAGCTCTATGGAGACCTGAACACTTCAGTGGCAAACAATCTTGTACCGTAACATCACTGAATACTTTCCATAAAAACCACTTCACGATGCTTAGGGCTGCTGGCCGGCCTGGCATGACTGCATAATAGAATGCAACGCTACAAACTCAACACGGGAAAATGATTAGACATGGACCTGAAACCCTAAACACTTGCCAATGTATTTTCCAGTATCAACCAATACTCATACTCCATCATCGTGGGAGAGCGTTCAAACATGCCCTGAAACCACCAACATTTGCCTTCTTTTCCTCCGCAAAAGTTTACCATCATGGGAACGTGACAATAAAACAGTGGTAGGTGGCTGTGGCGACGGTTTCCTAGTGAAGAATGTTTGTTTACACACCACGGTAACGAGGGTAAACAAACAGACTCCACGGAAACGGGAGGCCACACCCAGTACACCATAAAGTAAATGACACACTGATCAGGGAAACCGAGGGTTAAATAAACAGACACCATGGAAACATTAAGCCACACCCACCCCGGGGTAGAGGGTTCCTTTGTGAACGTCTCCAAACTGTCCCTCTCCAATTCTCTCCTCTAACATGACCTCCCGTGGAGAGATGGCTCTGCCGAGGACCTGTCTGTCTGGCTCTCTCACTTCTGCATAGTCATCCCCTGGAGGCAGGCAAGATTTTACTTGAGCATCTATTTCCCATTGTGGATTTCTACTAATTAGTACTATGCCCTCTGTGACATTTCACAGATATGTTAAGTACGGCTCTCCGACTATACAAGAGCGGTGAGAATGTTCAACATATCGTACACAGCTGTATATACAAGTTCTAAGGCTCTGAGAACAAAGTAGGTTTAGTATTGGCTCAATTTGTCCTGCCTCATGAGCACAAGAGTAGTAATACATTGCACATGATGCATCTCTATCGTCATACTACATACGTAGAGTACAATAAGAACAAGGGAGGGGGAGGGAATGGGATTTGTAGAAGGTTGGCCGACAAGCAGTGTGTTCAATAGTTCACTGGCCACCCTTTACAGTAGGTCCACACACATCAACTACAGTGAATAATGGGGCTACCAGTGGAAATGAGAAGAAGTACAATGCCGAGGTGAATTGTATCGCTATTCATTTGAGGAGCTTCCCCCACAATACATGTCCTGTACGAAGCTCTACACTAGCTGCTAGGAATATAAAAAACCCGTGTGTATCCAAGTTGTGATGGTACACATACATATGTACAGTTGTGTCTGTTATTACAGAATTCATACACAATTCATGGGCGAAAATCGGAGGAGGAAAGTGCTCTAGAAGATGTTGCAAGTATTACAAAAACCGGTGGTTAAGTGCACAGCATTGAGAAGTTCCGCAATAGACGGAAAATCTGCACAGCCCATAATTATACTAAAGTCAGTTGAGGCACTGTAAGCAAGGCTCCATCTGGGAGTAAGGCTACAAATGGACTCAACGGATGGTCCCTGCACACACACACCACACCTAGCAACATGGCACCGCAGCCAGCACCTCGGTCTCCTCTTCCCACCAATAAGGGATTCATAGCTAGCTCCCTAACAAGGACCGAACTTCGCTAGCGGCGGGCGCAAGAAACGCGCGTCTTTCAAGTCCCAAAATGTTCGCGGTGCCTTTTACGGAGCTAGACGTGAGCCCAGGCAGGCTTCTACTGCAGCAATGGCTCCTTTCTGCCTCCTACCTCTTACTGCCGTCTCTTCCAACATCTCCCGCAGACCGTCCCAGTCAACTGGGGCTCCTCTTGAGTCACCTTGCTGCGTGGTAACCACTGCGTGTACGGTCCTCTCCCCGCTACCTCCGGAGCTGGCCCTCCGTCTCACTCCCCCGTGGCCCTCTCGCAGGTCCAGAACAATCTGCTGCTGACTAGCTCGGTTCTCTTCAACTCCTTGCCTCTTCCCTAATGCACTCGGAGCTCCGGGTCTCGGGACAGGGAGATGTACTAGTCTGTCGTACGTATTGCTGTCGTCTTCTTCCTCTCCACTGTCTTCTGTAGCTTCCCTAACGTCTGCCCGGTCGTAAGTATGATACTTAGTCTCTTCTTCTGCCTCACCCGCCTCCGCCTGGAGCTCGCACTCCTTCAGAAAGGCCTCCAGAGAACCGTCTTCCACCTCGTCCAAAGTCTTGTGCGTCCGGACAGCCTTGGCAACGAAAGATCCGGACAGTCTTCGTCCTACAAGTTTACCACTACTGTCCACTAGGACAGAGCGAACGTTCTTTCTCCGGTGATAGTTGCTTTCTCTCTCCGCAGCGCCGGACAAGACGCTGTAGTCGTCCGAGTAACTAGACACAGGAACGCCGACCGTGCGAGGAGTTATAACCTCTCCCCAGAGGTATGTTCCGTTGCTAGTGGATTCTCCTGGTAGAAACACGAAACTGTCGGCTTTCAGCACAGCCTTGCGTCCTCCACGGTTTCGCTTGGCGACTGAACCCGGGTCTCCCACGGCTTGGTCTTTGGACGAGCGGCGACCCAAGAAACTGAACACTGAATCGACGAATTTCGACATTTTCACGACTTCTTCGCGCCGGTGACTGTAGCTAGCGAAACACGCGGGGTCGTATGGGCTAGCTAGAGTCAAAATATCTATGTCTAGAGATACAATAGCACTGAATAGGCTGGTCTACTGCGACCAGCAGTTACTGCTATTACTGTTCCAAGTAAACATTGGCTGCATGCGGTGAATTGAAATACCGCAAGACGATGCGCGCCCGCAACGCACACACACGGAAATTGCAGCGCAAACAGCGGAAGTGAAGCGTATCCGTCCTTTGATCGTTGGTTTGATGTCCTAAGAGAAAGCGCGTCTGTCACTGCTGTCCCGTGCAGTAACTGGACAATGGGTGTTTCTCAACTTTGGCATGTCGCAATGATTCACTGAACACAGTGGTCCTCACCGGCACATGCATGTCTACTATAACTGAAAGCAAGGAAAATAGGTGGTGGTAAGTCTTGTGGTTGTACAATCCTTCCTTGCTCTTTTTCTCTATCGGAGGAATGTCATTACGCAAACCATTTATACACTTCACAGCAGGTGAACAGTTCTACTGCAGACTACAATAACAATGGTCTCATCCCCCACAGGACTCAATTCACTGACAATGATGACTTGTCTCGTTCCCACACCCTCCCTCTTCTCTCTATCTCTCCAGTATCGGATTCACACCTTGTACTGTGTAACTATAACACAGACTAGAGAATGTTCATAAGTAGTAAGTATGTTGGATGATTAACAGTCTTCGGTCTTCTTTGTTATCTATGATGTGAGATCCTTCATATCCAAGAAAACAGACTTATTTTTGCTACTATGTTTGATCGATTTTGAATGCACAGAGCACTCCATCGCCTAAGATGCTACATTCCTCACATTCCACACATGTAACCTACCAAACCACTCCTCTCCCCCACCCGACCTTCCTAATACGGTACAAATCGAGCATGTGCTAAGTAGCAGAGAATACATGCATCAGAACTTCGTACCGTCTTTGCTCAGACCTCTACCGTGCATGGCCTCGCTATCTATTACATCTGCATAAGTGTATATACCTATATAATGTGTTCCTTATTTGGCATGTGCACACAATAAATATGCATACCAAAACCTTTGACCTACTAGTCTTCCTTCCCACATTCATCATAATATTTATCACATTCCTCTCATGCCACGCCCACTCTCCCCCTGGTTACCGGGTGTGAAGGAATGCGTTGCCATGGAGATCCCGTAATGATCGACGACACCTCTCATTCTCTCTTCCTCGAGAGAGCTGTACAGACCTGACCTGTGGGGGTGATGAGGGGGTGTGGTCAGGGTACAAAGTGATACACAAAGTATCGAGGAAGGATTTCAGTTGATTATTGGATGTATACCATTATGGTATGATGACAGCACGTCTAAAACATCAAAGCATAATACTTACAGTCGTGGGTTTGAGTAGCTCTTCCTGCCAACTGCATTGGAGGGAGGGAGGGAGAGTGAATGGGGTTAAACGCGATATCTACCAGTGGTATTGTGTACTGTATAGTGGGAATAATTGTCATGTGGAGGGTATGGTGAAATGTAATCCACTTGGGTAGAGTGCCCGGGGACACTACGGTAATTGAGTTCATATTCACTCATCAAGTGTCCAAACATGATTACTGCACAAACCACTAAGACCTCTTCACACAGAGTATGTAATGGGTTTGGAACATTGTACTAGCGTTGTAGGAAAAGATTTGCCTCATTTTGGTTCTTGTGAACCGTGTACATGTATAAGATGTCGGTCGCAATTCTACCATCATCTATATATACAGATTTGTTGTCAATCCAAGTGGCACTGTGGTAATATCTACATGTGCTGGCTTCTCCCCTGCCAAGCCATGTGTGTGGGTGTTACCTCCACTGAGCCAAACATCAGTGTCTGCAGAACCTACTAAAAGGTAGGTCCACAGTATTAGGAGAGTCCTTGCATACGTCAATGCCATGGGAGATGTTATGGCGCTGCAACCAACCGTATCTACACATGCAGTTGAACTCCACTCATCAAGACACTAATGCGACAGAAGAAAGAGCTAGTGAGGTATCCTTTTATCAGGGGGCTAAATTGCATGTTCTTGCGAAAATAAAAGTTGTTCTCATTTCAGGGGTGTCCTTAGAGAGAGGTTCAACAGTAAAACCAGAGGCCACATGTCTCAGTGGGAGGGGTGCAGTCAACACAGTCCATTGACTCATGTCAACTGAGAAGGCAGTGACATCACTCACAATGAAAACCACGAGACGCCTGATTATCATCCCCTGACACCACTCTGAATAGGGTCCCCTAGACTCACTTCCAGACATCCGAGAATGGGGGTTTGGAGTGTAGACCATGCAGTAGGCATCAATTAGAGTAGCCAGGTGGACTGCCATCGTCATGGTAGCAGTCCGAATCACCACTGCCTACAAGGAGAGAGATAAAAGAATGAGTTAAGAATAATAATTTGAGCTGCAGAGTGCATAAGTACTTCTGCTACCATAACTGCTTCAAGCAATTGTTTCAACTAACACAGAACCATTCCTAGTCACCCACCATCGCTGCTGTCCGCACGTCCATGACAACACGACCTCGACTCATCAGTTCACTCTCATAACACACGTCCTCGATATCGGAGAAGGCAGCAAGGAACCTCCGCTCTCCTCCCTCCAGCTGGTACTCCAGGTTACAGTTGGCTCCCACAAATATGACACACGACAGCCGCGCCGTCTGGTCGTCCTGGAGACAGATTAGGGGGTGTGGCAGTTAGTGTGGCCAGTAATAATACGTAGTGCAACTCCTCTCTAAGGACATCCCTGAAACGAGGACACTTTCTTCCCTGGCATGGGGTGAGATGGGAATAAGGTATATACTTACCCCAACGGCACAGTTTTGGAAGGACTCCACGTCAATGGAGTGAAACTTGGAGAGAAGAGAGAAGAATTGAAATATACATCCCTCCATTGTAAGACTCTCGTAGTTCTGAAATGCCTGCAGCGATAAAGGGATGATGTAATTATGATGTAATGCTTCCCCTTTGTCCATGGAATTCAGATGGCTATAATACAGTACAGGTGTACTCATTGTTGTACTATACGCACATGGAGAACCATGGTTCGAAGGTTCTTTCTCTTGAGTGAGGAGAGAAGAGATGACTTGAAAAACTTCTCCAGTCCAATGTCCTTTCTGTTCCCGGTAACCATGGAAACATAACAACAACAGAGATCACAATACATACTTAAAATATTGTTGAGATTACACTAGTTTTTAAGCGCCATGAATTGCAGATCACATGATCCTGGCTGTGGATCACATGACCTGGGGGTGACTCACTCGAGCATGTCGAAATTCTCTTTCTTCTTGAGAGCGACTTGAGGCATGTCTTTGAAGAACCTGCGCAGCTCCAGACAGCCCAGTTTGACAGCCGTCTCGTTGTCCACGGCGATCTCGCTGTCCACCAGGTAACTATGGAGAACCTGTGGTGACACACACAGTGGCTGAGGACACCACTGAAATGAGGACACTTCTGTCTAGACTTTGGACTATTCTCGCACATTTCGTGCCATACTTCAATTACTGTTTGCTGCAAACTACTCCCAAATTCCTTGTTAATTGGATCCCACGTGCATAAAAAATTCCAAACACGTTTCTTTAACATGCAAAATGTGAGAGGCGTAATATCTCAGTTGCAACTTTCCCACTGCTAATTACACACATGGATGGAATGCAAGTACATACGAAACAGTTTAGCAACACTCAGGAAGATGAGAGGAGCTGGTACCTGGTCATAGAAGTATTGGAAGGTGACAGGATCTTGCGTCAGGAGGTGCTGAGGTGTCCGTGGCAACACTCTCATCCTCAGCATAAACCTGCAAGTATATACATACGACACAACACGATGTCATACTGCTGCCATGTGACACATACAAACACCTTTCTTGTGAAGTTCAGCAAAGGTAAGCATGAGTAATAAAAGTCACATGAGAGTCACATGACCTCTACCTCCACTGATCCAGAGGTTTCCTGGCAGTGTAGCTGGCTAGTTGCTCGGCGACAGTGAACCCAGGTTGGAGCCAGTAGCTCTCTCCCTCGTCACGGTGACGGAGGAAAATGGAGAACAGTTGAGGAGCTACCTCCATGTTGACCCTTAGTCTGTGGAGGACACTGCGAACCACGTCCTGTGATAAATAGTACAGTGGGACCTCACATAATACAGTGTTAGTCTGTGCAAAACCCAGTGTGTCGCCCGTCATGCTGATCTGCATATTTGTGAGGTATATACAACTCTGTCACACCTAACATCAGGTGTACACATCATGTCAACATCCTGACATTCCACACCAGTCAGTGGGTGCCACTGGTTGAGAGTAAACAAAAGCTACTCCTCACAAGAGTGTCCTAATAAGGCTGTGTCAATACTCCCACTGACTGCCAATTACTACTGACTTTCAATGTATACATGTACATAGCTTTGAGAGAGCCCTCATTTCAGGGGTATCCTTAGAGAGGGGTTCCACTATGCTGTGAACAGAGTATGGTGTAGTCATTACTGCCTCAGGGATTTGAATATCCAGTTTACCACTTTCATTTCTTCTCTTCCCCTCTCCCCCCCCTCTCCTTTCTTTCTGCCTATATCTCATAAAACTTGAATACACACAAATCCAGTCTTATATACACAATCCAGCTAAGGTGTAAAGTTTACTTAGGGAGGTAATACAAGCTTATGAATTACTACTGTCGCCTTAGCTGCCTGGTGAAGGTCGAAGGAACGTTTTGGACGTACCGTAACTTCCATCCGCTCGTCCAGTCGTACGCTGCGTGACTCTCCGTTCACCAAGAACACCTTTATGACACTGCGCCCGCTGCTCATCTTGTCTCCTTCGTCCTCAACACTATCCCTCTTCACTACTCTCTCTGTAGTAGCAGCTTTTCTGAATGAGACTACAACTCAAACCAAAAAAGCAGTCAGAAAACTCATTAGGTCAAAGGTCAAAACGACGCCTCTTGTTCTATTTTAGCGAGGCAGATTGGTAGTGAAATTTTGAATAAAAAAAACGAAAACCCGAATCTTGGCTTATGTGCAGCTAGCTGGCACTCTGGGAAGATGGTGAGCATAACTCCAGAGATAGAGAAGCACATCCGCGAGAACTGCGCGTGGCCCAAACTCCCGTCTTCCGCCAAAGCCGTGAGTTTACCAGCAATTTTTTTGCAGGCACACCGACTCACGTGACCTATTCTTTCTCGCACAAACATGCAGGCGATGGGCAATGCTCCTGGACTCTACGACAAGGCGGTGCTGGAAGTGAGCATCAAGAACCAAATCAAGTGGAGAAACAACATCGGTGAGCCAGACCACATCCCTATTGCACTTTTTTGGAGTAATTTTTTCTCAGTTCGTTTTGTGCAGAGAGACGAAAGAAAATACTATGATACTCTCCTTCAGTACAGCAGGGAGCATTACGTGGTCAGTGGAGGTGTAAAAATGGTAGAAAAGGAAGAAAAAGGAGGAAAATCGAGAGAAAAAAAAGTGCGCCCGATGTGGGGCTCGAACCCACGACCCTGGGATTAAGAGTCCCATGCTCTACCGACTGAGCTAACCGGGCTGAGCGATGACGCTAGGGCGCAATAGAATATTTTATACCTGGTTGCTCAGCTAGGGAATCACGTTTTTCCCTCTCCACTAGCTGTATCCATACCACATGCAAGACGTGATGGTCCAAGGATTGAGAGTTACTCCGTTCTCCTACTACTGCTCCATGATGTATGACATGGTTCAGAGTGAAAAGAGCTACGATTCTCTCCCTAACTTCACCGCTGCCGACTGTGAGTTTTCTATGGGAACTGTAGTATTTGTGATGATGGAATGATGATGTAATTGTTCTCCCGCAGGTCTTCGTCTGTTGGGTATAGGCCGGAACCAGTATATAGATCTCATGAACCAGTACAGGTCAAGGGTGCGTACGTAGGTACTTCATTGGTTCTTGCTTGATCTCACCCAGGGCAGCTCTTGTTTCCTTGGAGATGAGAGTGCTGTCATAAACCCTGCAATCAATATCTTTACTGTTTTCCCCTTTCTATTGTCTAGAAATTCTTTCGTCGTCGTAACATCAAGGACTTGTTGCCAGGACAACCGGTGAAGAATGTACAGATTGATCCGTGGTGGCTGGTCCATGTTGGATACATCACCGAGGACGACATTAGAGTTAGCCACACCCACCCATTTCCCCTCCCTATTCCTATCTCACCCTATCTTGTTCTGAAATTAAGGAAAAACTTCAAGAATAGTACACGTATCTTGCGTGCAGTAACCCCTGAAATAAGAAAGGCGTGTATGTAAGCTGTCCCTCCAGTCCAGTAAACCAGAGGAACACTTGGTAATTGACAAACTGATAGATGACGGGGCGCAGCAGGCCAGCTCCACCGACAGAGACCTCATACTACGTGAGTCATGTGACCTGTCATGTGATCTATGGCGGCATAACGATGTAATGCTCAGGGTTGTACAACAAGGGGCTGATCTACCTGATAATCCCTATCGGTGACAATGACACTATTGTGGTTCCGCCTCTACAGGTAACCATGACTACCAGTATATAGAGTTGAGTTGCACTTCAATGTATTCAGTATTGTTGGCTGGCCTGTCCTTCCGTCCCCCACTTGCTTGTTAAAATTTAGCCTACGTTCATAAACATACAAGACGTCCATGTTTTATGCAAAACACAGCCATGGCGCTGTGAAAACTCTGAATCCACATCCTCTCACTCCGACCCCACCTCCCCACCACCCAGGGATTTGTAATGAACAGGGTTCAGGGAGACTATTTCGAGACCCTTCTCTACAAGATATTTGTCAGTATTGATGAGTACACTGACATGAGAGAGCTGTCATCTGTTCTACAGATTGACCTAGAGCAAGTCAAGGTACATAAGACATGCCAAGGGGCCTTGTGTATGGAACAAGGGCTAGGGCTAGGGTTTACCTGTTCCACTATGCAAATAGGAGTAAGGACACCTTGCTTATATGGACACTTTATTCTGTACTATTGGTCGACTGTCCTCTGTCGTCTCAGAATGCTGTCTCACTCTTCATACGACTCGGGTTTGCCCACAAGAAGACCACATCCACTGACTCCGCCCAGCAACACCCTTCCTGGAGCAAAGTTCCTTCTCCACCTGTGACCACACCCACTGCCACACCCCTTACTCTGGAGACGGGTGGGAGTGACAGTGAAGGACCCACTGGTCAAAGGTCACCCAGTCCAGGTTTGCCACCTTTTCAAAACCACACCCACCTATTGTTAGGCTTCTTCTGTCACAGATTCAAATGTTGCCATGGTGACGGCAGCTCCCAGCAGTGGAGTGTTTCAGAAGAGGATAGCATTTCTATTTGATGCCACCCTCACTGCCTTCCTTATGATGGGGAACCTTTCTCCAGTGAGTGACCACACCCAATCACGTGACCTCTGGCCTGTTGACCACACCCCCTTCCTCTCATCACTCCACCCAGGGACTAAAGAACCATGCAGTGACTATGTTTGAAGTGGGGAAACTGACAGATGAGAGTCTTGACAGCTTCCTTGTGGAGCTCAGCAAGGTGATCACATGACCTGTCACATGATTCAGTGAAATGATCACATGAGCATTGGGAATGATACTGACATACAATGTCTTGCAAATCACGGCTTAATCCATTGTATGACTTGTCTACGTACAATGTGCAGGTGATGGAGCAGGCAGAAGGAGAGGCTCGTCGGTACTTTGAACACGCAGTGACATTGCGCAACACCATCAAGTTCCTCCGCTACAACCCAGGGCTGGTCCCGGGCGGAGATGGGCGTGGTCTCGGGGTAGACATGCTGAGATGTGAGAGTATGACGTCACTGGACCCAGCCACCCTCGCCAGGGTCCTCCGCAAGAACTACTAGTGAGCTGCTCATTGTGTCATCATTACATCGTTCCAGACACACCCACCATTACACTACTATCTTTGACACTCCTACTATTACCCATGCAATTTTCAAGTTAATCTAGCTTGTCAATCAGGCTAATACTGACATTAAATCTTATCGCTCACCTTCCCTTTCCCAGTGTCCTGGTTTCCATGGCTCCATTGAGTCAGGAGGTCCAGACCATCAGCAGCTGTGTCCCTCCTCATGTAGGGCCTGCCGTCTCCGAGGTAACCAGCATCTGGTTCAAACTATGGCTCTATTCCAAACTCGGCTCCGGTCCCCATTCCATTCTGCTCTCCCGCGGAACGCGGCTCCGGAGACTGCCCTCCGTCCTCAAGGTGATGAAGTACTCATTATGTAATTTTGTCAGTGAGTGTTGTTCTTGTTGCCAGGGTTACCATCGTGTCCTGGTGACCAGCTGGGGTCATGACCCGACGTCAGTGTATGTGTCTAATCTTCTCCTGACAGTCAACGATGCTCTGACACACTCCGCTGTACTCATACAGGTGTAGATATACGTGTACATTGGTGCATGCTACGTAGAGCAAAGCTTTGTTGACCATGTATATAGGACATTGGAGTTTAATTCCACCCTTCCTCCGCAGGCGACGGGATGGAGAGAGGATGGTCGTGTTGAACATGTTCCATTTCCATTTGACCGTGACGAGGAGGTGCCGATCCCCGAGGATGATCTGCTCAACCATCCCTGTCTGTCAAGACTAGAGGCACAGGTTGATCTAGCTCATACCTGTGGCTACCTCTCCATGCTCAGGACTGGTATGTGAGTCTACTACAGCTATTGCCTATAGCTGTATGTAGTAGAAGGAAAAGTTGTCCTTATTAGAGATAATTTCAATGGTGTCCTTAGAGAGTGTGTATATCATTAACTACACATTATACTTTCATATCCTCCGTAATATGCATCAGGAGCTCCATGTGTCAATGGAGGTGGTAAGGGGAAGAAGAGACCAGACAGACACCATTCTTCCAGTAACCATCAACAGAAGGCTGAGATATCAGAGTTCCTCCAAGACCTTCGCCAACTGGGCATTGGAGGAGACCCCGCCTCCCCCACTCCAGACACCCCAACTCACCCTGCTCCTCCCCCAGCGGAGTACCCCACCCCGGAGCAGCCTGGTTCCTCCGGAGTGACTCCTGTCCAGGAGAGGCTGGGTCAGGAATGGGTACCTCTTGAACTCAGTTTTGGAGTACCTCTGTTTGAACAGCAGGCCAATAGAGCTGTCTGTGATAAGGTATCTTTTTTCATTTCTTTTCTCTCACTTTCTCTTTCTTTTCCACATTTAGTATGTATTTTTGTACATCTCCCCAGATATTGGAGAGAGTATTGTTCACTTGTGACAGTCTTCATCGCCAGACTCAGGCCAACAGACTACTGGCACTTGATCTGCTCAACTTCATATCTCTTCACACCGTTAGTGCACGTAGTGTTCAGTACAGTAAGAGACCTCTCTGAATAGACCGTGAATGTTCTTTCCCTCCCACCAAACAATGTGTTCACCATTATACAGTGTGAGTAGGGTTCCAGATGCCTAGCCTAGGGTAAATTAATGACTCCCCACACTCACATACACACGTTGTTCTACCTCTCACAGGATACTGGAGTAACCACTGACCCTGCCCACTTCCTGGAGGAACATAACGGGTCTCCTGTTGCCATGCCAACAAGAAACCTGATTTTCCACAACGGAACTCTAGAGACTTTCTCTGGTTGAATTTACTAATACTGGTGTATAAAAAATTTATAAGATTACTATCACGTCTGTAAGATTACAGAGCAAGATTACTAGCCTTGCCGATCGAGATTACTAGCCAGACTGAAAGATTACGGAGGAAGATTACAAGATTACAACTGACTGTAAGTATACAGAGCAAGATTACTAGCACTCTAGTGTAAGATTACTAAGCCTATCGTCAGAGTGATGCCGGTTTATACGCATGCGCACATTGTTATTCCGTGGAGACGCATCACGTGATACTCTACGCCCGTCGGTCAACAAAACAACAACGGCAAATAGGTGAGTTTCAGTCTTCTCTCTCTCTATCTGTCTCCAAATTTCATCTCTATGTCTTTGTCGTAGGTATTAGAATGGCACCTCAACTCCGCGGTCTCCTACAGAGGAAGCTGGCACGAGAAATCCTCACGGCTGTTGGTCTGGGGCTCGTGGCGGGGGCTGGCTACTGGTACGCCTTGGTTCTCCCTCGCAGACGTCGCTACGAGGACTTCTACAGGAACTACGACGCCAAGGCCGTCGCTCAGAGCATGACAGCCAGCTTTGAGGAAGGTGCGCTCCAAATGGGAAAGGCCGCATAAAACGTGTTACGCCCCTTTTTTCTCCACCTGTTACCTTTCTAAACTTTCCTCAAAAACATTGACGCCATTGTTTTCCTTATGGTATAAAATCATTGATTCTCCATTACTGCTGTCCTGTCCCCTCAGTTGCATGCAGCTAAACCCAGCCTGTTTGCCACTCTTGGCTCTTTGGCAGTGAAGTTTATGTGCATATATAGCAGTCTGTCTTGCTATTGCATCTGTATGTACGACTGTTTTTCTCCTCCCTCCCCTTCCCTCATACTGTCACAGAGTCATAGCCCAAGAACATAGTAGACAAAACCATCACTATGTGAATATACCACACTGTCTGTGTATGTATGTATATCTTGATGTGCATCATTTAGAATTTCACAAAGTCAACATGTTGATGTGTTACACGTAGTACTGTGGGTGGCTAAGTCTGTGTCGATTTCTTGAACTCTGCAACTTGTGTCAGGACATGCTCAAGAATGTGTTTAGCAGTTCGCTTGTCACTCGGTAACCGTGACGACACACCCATGATATCACCACACTGTCGGACATAGTATTCCAGATCCTCATCTGAGCCTGTTGCCATGGAGAAATTACACAATTGCAATGAAAGCAGTTTGGGGACTAATCATGTTCTGTGTGAGTCATACATTATGAAAATTGTCATACATTTGTTGGTGATCTGAGCGATGCGAGTTCTCTCGGAGGAGAACTCCTGGTCAAGGTCAAAGAGGTCGAGGGAGGGGGGAGGAGGCTCATGGAGGGACGGAGGGAAGAGGGCTGGCTGCAGAGGAGGGAGAGGTGTCTCAAATGTAGGCTGGATGAGCGTCAGCGTCTCATGTTTCAGTCCCAGGTCTGTGTAGGCCCTGAAGGAGAGACGGAGAGTGATGGAGAACTCACAAAACAAAATGTTACCACTATGCAGTAAGGCTTATATAAGTGTGTATCATGCTCTCCTTATGAGTGCATGCTAAATAAGATAGAAGACTCACTGCAGGCAGTCCGGAAGAACAGACATGTCCATTCTGAAGAGAGAGTGGTCAATGAGAGATGAGAACTCCCTGGGAACCTACATAATATAGTCAGGGCAGTGGGAGATGAGATTTACGTAAATTGTGAATAGGAGACAGAATTAAAGAGAGAGAAAGAAGTGAGAGAAGAAAAGAGGAAGGAATAACTCACCTCTTCAGACTCCTGGAGACAGCTCTGAACTCTCTCAGCTGCCTGTCCTGTCTCGGGCAGGAAATGGTAGTCTGACACCTGAGGAAAGACAGCAGTTTTGGTTGAGCAAAACTATGATACCAAACACAATGTCTGGTCCACTGTTTCTACAAACCTGATACATAAGAACAAGTGTAATACCAGACGTATATACCTCGGGGTCTTCAGCATCAATGGCATTGAGGGTGATGTCATCTGATGTCATAAGTTGCCATAGCACCTCCTGGAGCCTCCCGTTCTCCTCTTTGTCCAGATACTGGTCTGAGAACAGGTGGGCGGAGCCTAGTACCAGCAGTCGACCACGCCCATTCTGCAAGGATTGCACCCACTATAAAAAAAATCCACAAACTCGCTATCGCTGTCTATATAGCTATTTCTGATGTGCTCTGTACCTTACTGTGGCAGAAGGCAGCCACAGGTCTGCAGAGAGGATAGCTGGTTGACCCAGATGAGAGGAGGGACACCGCTGGCTTCTGGACAGTTAGAGTTCCTCCGAATGGATACACAAATGACAGAGACCTAGAGAGAATGAGGCAGAGAGAGGAATGAGGGGAGGAAGTTATTGTGGATGGCAAGTCATCAGTGCAAGTGAACAAGGTGGTGGAGAAGCAAGAGATATATAGAGACGAAAATAAAAATCAGAGGGTCAAGGCAAGTAAATAAGTCAGTAGTGAAAAGGGAGGGAGAGAGAAAAAACAGGTGCATAAGGTTTTGAACCTGAGAACTTCTGGTGTGTAAAGCAGCTGTGGTAACCGCTACACCGAGGAACAGATTTTGTTACATGTGTGGACTTACTTCTGTGATAATGTGGTGTTGACGGAGTCACTGTGGGTGTGGTCAGACTTGCCGGCAGCTCTGCCCAGCTCCCTGTTGAGGACTCCATTAGTCACCAGAGCCTCCTTTGGGTGGTGGAACTTGTGGTACGCCGTTCGTGTGACTGAGTCTGGTAGGAAAAATCAATGCAACATACAGTGCAAAGTCTACGCCATCTACAACTGGAGGAACACTCTGGAATTGAGGACATCTCTCTTAGGACACCTTTTCTTTCCCCAAATACAGTTTCTTGCATGCAATTCAACCCCTGAAATGAGGACACCTCTCTAATAAGGACACTTTTTCTTTCCCCAAGAACAGTTCTTGCATGCAATTCGACCACTGGAATAAGGAACATATGGAAACTTTCTTCTGTCCCAGATTAGAGAGGTTCCACTGCATGTACATGTATATACCACTATTGAGAGCAATTCCAAACTCCTCGAGTAGGAAATTGACGTTAGTTCCCAGTTTTGTCTCTCCTCCTTCACCCAACATCACCACTACACTCCCACCTCCCTCCAGATAGCTCCTCAGAGCTGTGAACTGGAACAGAGAGAGAGAGAATTATAATAATATATAGATCATTGTTATATTGTTTTAGAGATGTCTCTTTTATCAGAGGTATATAATTATTACGGGGGAGAAGCAAGTGTCCTTTATAGATATTTCCTCAAGTGTTTCACCCTGTTCATTGGTTACCTCGGCAACAGAGAACTTGTCTCGCGGACAACCAAACACAACCATTCTGGCTCCGCCCACTTTCTCTAAAGTGACTTCATCCCGAATCACACCAACTGACCAATGAGCTTTTAGACGAGCCTGCATCATGGAGACATGCAGCAAAACATACATGTGTATGCTATGAACTATAATTTCATGTATATTATATTTGTCACGAAAGACTATTTCCTTCAACTGAGGGCTAGTGAAGCTATTTCACGACAAAGATAACATGCGAAACTTCGCCAATCAGATTGGCTCACAAAAAGCAATATGTGAAGACTTTCATACAGGTGTCTACCTGCAGACTCCTGTAGCCAGAGGAAGGAGAGAACAACTCTTTCTTGGCCTCCGAGAACAGAATGTTCTGAGACACTGCTGCCGTCTGGATACGTGGAAAATACACGTATGCTCGCTTTACTTGTTGATCAACGAACGGTTGCCATGGGCGACGACCGCTCGTCCGGCATGCTGGAGCTCCCCAGTTCACCAACAGGCTAGAGATCAGACCCACAGACTTTGGGGCCTGTCGTGTTCTTGTCAGAATTCCCTCTTTCTCTTAGACTCTCACCGCAGTGAGCTGCGGCTAGAGCAGAGACTTTGCGCGGTCCGAACAAGAAGCCCCGCCCACTCCGCTATGGAACGTTGTAAAAATTTAGACCACACACCTGGTGTAGCGGCAAAAATAACATCGGGATACCGTAGATTTTTCTCGCACAACCACAGCTTATTTATACCGGCTGCAACCACAAGTCAAAACAACACCTGACAGAGTCGGAGAGAGAGGGCGGGGCTACTGGCTGCAAAGTTGAGCCTTGGCCAAAGGAAAGAATACGTTCGCCGGGAGTTGGAGCGACGTACAGGATTCGGCTTTCCCAAGTCATTCGCACCGTCCACGGAGGAGTTTTCAAGCTCAAACTTTTTGCCGAGCCAAGGGTTGTACCTTCTTCTGCTCTGTAGCTCGTGCGTGAATATACAGAAGACAAGTGACTAACAAGGCAAGGAGCTGGTGAGCCCACAGGATAGAGCTCAGAACCCTCAGAAGCCTTGCTGAGAGCTCGGGGGAGGCGTGGCTGGCTCTGCAGGCTAACCACAAGGGACCACAGAGGCGAACAAGCCTGGAAGAGCTGGTGAATGGTGGAGAGTGAGGAATGCAAAGAAGACGAGTTGGAAGTGGCAATCAAGGTTGTGGTGGTAGGGAACGGAGCCGTGGGTAAGAGCAGTCTCATCCAGCGGTACTGCAGAGGAGAGTTCACTAGTGAATACAAGAAGACCATCGGAGTTGATTTCCTCGAGAGAGAACTGCAGTAAGAGACTTAGCTACAGTGTATGCAGCTAGAGAGTGTTGGTGTGTGTGTGGTATTATGGAAGACATTTGAGAAACTGATGCAGTAGACCTCCCAAGAGCACAGGTAGTATGTATAGTGGTAGCCATGGAGGCTGGCATACTTTATGTAACACAGTATGTGTCGATATGCATACTTACCAGTTGTATGTACAGCAGTATGTGGTATAAGTCTTGTCTGTAACACCGTCTGGGCCCACTTGTTGACAGCGACTGTTGCCGTGGCAGCACATGTATGGCATTCCTGCATGGTACAGTCTCAGGAGTTGAATTACGAATACAACTTGTCACTTGCAATACCTCATTCCTGCCTAGTTTACCGTATAATGGGGGGGGGGGGGGGGGGGGGCCTGTGAAGGAGAAAATAATCGTTTCAGAGGTGTAATTGATTCGTTGACATTTAGTTTTAGCCGAGCTCTACCAATGTTGTCTAATTTTTCTCCCAGCCCTTTTGAATCTTTTCCCTTAGTTTACTGTGTAGTTGGTAACCTCCAAGGTAAGAAAAGTTCCACTAGCTGCTGAAGGAATTTCTTCTCAAAACTCACTCTGACTGAAGTTCCCAACTGTGTGTGTTGCTTGATGTTCTCTTTCTCTTTCTTTCCATCCTCCTCCCCACTCCAAGTGTTAGGGAAGAGGAGTGTAGGCTGATGGTATGGGACACTGCAGGTCAAGAGGAGTTCGATGCCATCACTAAAGCCTACTACAGAGGTACTGTTGTCATACTATTTAGTTCTTTGCCAATTAAGTCTTCCGCTAAAACTTTTCTGCAGAAGTGTTTCTAGTGTTCAATTTCTGGTTGCACTGATGAGTTTGTTGTTTCCTCGTTTCAATGCAGGGGCTCATGTGTGTATAATTGTGTTCTCAACAGTTGACAGAGAGTCATTTCTGGCTATTGAGAGGTGGAAAAAGAAGGTTCATGTCCTTTTGGTTTTTTGACTATCACTGGGTTCCTTGTGTTACTATTCTGGTCAATTTCTGCAAAACACCTACATACTATACCATTTTTATATAGGTGAAATTACTGTTTTAGTGAGAATCGCTGCCTCTATTCAGCCGTGTATTGCACTATGATCATGTGTATGTGGACCTGATTTACTGCGCTCAATCCCATCTATCTTCCTGACAGGTTGATGCAGAGGTGGGTGGAGTTGTGACGTGTGTTGTTCAGAACAAGATTGACCTCATTGATGAGGCCTGTATGACACCGTGAGTCTGTCACATGATCTATCACATGACCTGTCATTTGACTGGAAGCTTTCTGAAACTCCTGCTGCATCTCCTTAGAGCCTCCTCCAAATCCCCGCAGAGCTCCAGTTATATACGCTTACGCACATTTATGAATCATTATGTGGTGTAGGCTTCTCACATACATTTTGCATTGTGACCTGTCACATGATCTTCTACTATTTACCAATCTACAGAGAGGAGGTTGGTAGGGTGGTAAAGGAGTTAAAGCTGAAACTGTTCAGAACATCAGTCAAAGAAAACTTCAATGTTGAAGCAGGTATCATCAAACTGGACTGTCCCATCGGGCGACGGGATGAATATATTATATCCCTATAACTCTCTCTCCAGTATTTGATTACCTGGCAACAAGATATCTGGAGAAGAGGCGGAGATCGTCACGGCAGCAAGCAAAGATTACCTCATCAGGTGTCCAGTCCATTTTACCACTCACACACCACAAAGAGCACCATGCATAAATTTCCTTACTCGTAAGACCCTATGACACACGGGACCGTAAGAACTGTGTCCTTTCTGAGGTTATTGCACTGAAGCTTTAGCCAAAGTGAAGCAAATGTTCCTCTACCAAAGAGAAGCTAAAAAGAGTTTTTATGTTCGTAAATATTATCATAGAGAAATTTTATTCCTGCAGCGTGCAACTCAGAAACTGATATCGTACCATCCCCAACCGTTTCTGTCGGTAACGGAGGACAATCGTTCCAAATAAGGAAAGACAGTCCAATTCATAAGATCAAGAGGAAGAAATCATGTGTTGTATTGTAGGATTTATCTGTGTGTGTGTGTCTATTGTGACATGTTTCACTGTTATTGATTCAATCTGAGCTGCAATATATACAAGTAATGCAAGGTGGTAGGGAGGAATAAAGATTCAGTCACAGTAGTGAGGCAAGTAAACAAGGGAATGGAGAAACAAAAGGGAAAGATGATAAACAGGGGAACTTCAAATCAGTGGTTCAGAAAAATAAAGGTTCGTTCGGGGCTCGAACCCGAGACCTTCTGCGTGTAAAGCAGACGTGATAACCGCTACACCAACGAACCCACGCACATCGTCCCACGACGAACTTCCGAAATTTATTCACCATTCTAGGCTGTACAATTTTGCCTGTGTCCAGTCATAAAAATGTGCATGCGTGGGGAGAGAGGAGTGGTGAGACAAGAAGACCATTCGCTGACGTTGGACTAGTGTACAGCGTGGAGGAAAGAAGCAACGAACGTTTGTAGGATTAGGGCCAAGTAAAGTTGCGTGTGGAAGTGGGGAGAAATGGATCGACTTGAACAGAGATTCAAGAACTTAGAGAAAGGGATTCTCGACCCAAAGTCCGTCCTTCACGTTGACGGCTTACTGGTGAGTCGCTAGCCTCTCTCCCGACGAGAGAAAGATGAAGATAAAGAAGGACGGGGAGGGAGGGCCTTGGAGAGAGAACAGCTGTACTAGTCTTGTTCACTTGTCCCTAACCTAACAGCCAATAGTTGCCTAGAGACACATATTCTGGTTGACCTTCCAGTGAAGGTAGGATATGAGACTTTGACTCTCTCTCAATAGCTGTCTAGCTGTCTGTGTGAAGAAGACAGGCTGAGAGTGGGAGAGGCTGGTAAACCAGTAGGACAAATTACTCATCTAATATCTCCCTCCCTCCCCCCTCCCTCCCTCCCCCCTTTCTCTTGACATGTGTGAGAGATACTAGTACTACAATAACACTCCGTAGTTCCAGCAGAGAGTATTGTAACAGTCCATATTTACAGCTACAGAGCAGCTAACTGTATATAGTAGTTATGCACTTGGCGTAGTGTTCCCTACTCACACTGTGTGACACGTGTTGTAGCATTCACTGTGCTTTGGGTTTTATTACTGTACGTCGGTAGCTAGGCTTAATGAACCACTCCCTAAGGACACCCCTGAAACGAGGAAACCTTTCCCGAAACAGTTCTTGCAATGATAATTTTGACACTTTCTGCCGTCTCATTGGTGTCCACATTGGAAGTGTAACCAACAAGAGAGCGAGGGAGGGTGAACTGGGTGTGGTGTGTCTAGCGAGGGAGGGTGAAATATCACTGGGTGTGGTGTGTCTAGCGAGGGAGGGTGAACTGGGTGTGGTGTGTCTAGCGAGGGAGGGTGAAATATCACTGGGTGTGGTGTGTCTAGCGAGGGAGGGTGAACTGGGTGTGGTGTGTCTAGGGAGGGAGGGTGAAATATCACTGGGTGTGGTGTGTCTATACGATGTACACAAGGTGTCGCAGGAAATTTGGTCATATTATGTACATACGTTGTTTTGCTGGTGCACTTGTATATTGCAGTGTGGGCTTTCTATGATTTCTGTGATTACCAGCTTAATTTCCTGTACATGCATATTTCCCTCTCCCTTCCTCTCAGGACACGGTGGCAGCAGTCTATCAGGACTGTAACTATCCTAGTCTTAGTCGAAACAAAAATCTTGAGAGCTTCAAGAAAAGATGTAAGTTAATAAGTCAATATCTCGGAGTCATCTCTGAAGACTTGTAGCACAACCAGTTTGTTTATGATTAGTAGCATTCAATTCATGATTGGTTTTGCGTGTGCATGTGTGGTGTGCATGTGCATTTGTGAGGCCAGTGATGAGATGTGTAGCTAATGGCTGATGGAATGTGGTCATGTTACTCTCACACGCTCAACTAACCACTGACATGTAGCAATTCACATACCTACCATTCTTTCTTCACCATCATCGACATGTACATGTTCTACTGCTGACGTCAGTGTACACATCAGCTGCATTAGGATATTAATAGTGCACTAATCCGGACTCCGTTGTGACAGAGTAAAGTGTCGCTACATTGCACCAGTATCGGTGCAGACTGAAGTGCTATTGCCAGCAATTGTCACACAGACTGTCAAATGATATTCCAATGTTTGAGAACACACTATAGTATCACTAGCTCTTTAACCACCACCACAGCTCCTCTTTATGGGTGACTGTGTATATAGTGTTTGGTTCATTCAGCCAACACATGTTAGAAACCTCATCTCAAATTTTGACTGCCCATGCTCAAATACTTCTAGCTGCCTGAGGTTGTACAAACCCCCTCACACATGTTGTTCCGTGCTCATTCTGAACTGGTATGAGTTTTATACTTTTGTGTTGGTTCATGTGTTTGTGTTTATCACTATGGTAACATGCCCCTCCCCCACCAGATGAGGGGGCATGTAAGGACATTTCGTCCAATCGGCTGTCAGCTGAAGATTTCGACATTGTCAAGGTGATCGGTAGAGGAGCATTCGGGGAAGTCCAGCTGGTAAGTGGTGTCGTGATGTAATAATGATGATGTAAGGATGATGTAATGGGGAGCAATAAAGTGAATAATTTGTTAAACAATGGACACCACTTCAAAGAAAGGTCCTCATATCCTACCGATGTGTATGGGATGATTAAGGGGAGCATAAGTGAATATTGTTAAACTAATCTGGACACCAATCTGTCAAAAGAAAGAGTCCTCATATCATACTAACGATGTGTATGTGTGGTGATGTAATGATGATGTAATGCAGGTGAGGATGAAGCACAACAATAGAGTGTACGCTATGAAGACCCTCAGCAAGTATGACCTGGTGAGTCCACCATTGTGGGTGTGGAGTCATTAATATCCATCGTGTACATAGAAAGAGGAAGATATTAGGAAACATGTTGTTTGCCTGCAGATCAAGAGGTCAGACTCTGCCTTCTACTGGGAGGAGAGGGACATAATGGCTCATGCTGACTCTCCCTGGGTGGTCGGACTCCACTTTGCCTTCCAGGACTCCTCATATCTTTATATGGTCATGGAGTACATGCCAGGTCTGGGCTATTTATAGTAACATAGGTACCTGTTGTATTAAAAAAGAGCAGACACTTTGTTCGCCAACAATATTGCCATATTACCAGCACAATGTTCTTTGCTCTCCTAAAGGAGGTGATATGGTGAGTCTTATGGCTCGTTATGACATACCAGAAGACTGGGCCAGGTTCTATACGGCAGAACTGGTACTGGCTCTTGAGACCATTCATAACATCGGATATATTCACAGGTGCGTGCGGCAAAGGGGAGACGTCAAACCTAATGGTACATATGTTAGTTTACCCTGAAACTGGGAAAGTTGCACAAAAGGTGTCTAGCTTCGATGCTGTGTTCATTGTTCACAACCATAATGTGCTTTAGCATGTGAATGGGAACAACTGTGGAATGGGAATGGGACTGTGCTCTCCCCTACAGGGACATAAAGCCAGACAACATGTTACTGGACGAAAGAGGTCACCTCAAACTGGCTGACTTCGGAACCTGCATGAGAATGGATGAGGTAATGATGATGTAATTCTTGCATACAACACTGACTGTTGCATGTTGAGAATTGGTTGAATTTCCTTTCGAGATCTGGTTTGTTTAGAGAACTTCTTTTAGAACATTAGTTCTGCTATCCCCAACATTTCTTGTCATATACACGTGTGTACAATTCCTTGTAAAAACAAGTACAACGTATGCTGTCTTGCATGGAATCTTATTACAGTGTGTACACGCATGCATGTATCTCATTTGAAAGCTGTGCCAGTCTCGAGCTGACCAATCATGTAACACTTACGTATGTACATGAATCTTCGTCCCTCCCTGACAGCATGGTAAAGTGAGGTCAGACACGGCTGTAGGAACTCCTGACTACATCTCACCTGAGGTACTGAAGTCACAGGGTGGCAACGGTTACTATGGCAGCGAGTGTGACTGGTGGTCAGTGGGTGTGGTCTTGTACGAGATGTTGGTGGGTGACACTCCGTTCTATGCGGAGAGTGTCATGGGAACGTACTCTAAGATAATGGCCCACCGCGGAGAGCCAGACTACGGAGACTGTCATGTCGGACCCAAGGCTAAAGACCTCATCGCCAAGTTCTTGGCTGAGGGGTAAGCTGTCTTCTTATCCTCGACTTCCCTCTCTCTTTTATCTTCTCCCTCCCTCCCCCCAGATCCTCCAGACTAGGAACAGGAGGTGCGGAGGAGGCGAAGAAACACAGATTCTTTAAGACGACCTCCTGGACATGGGACACAATCAGACAAAACGACGCTCCAGTTGTACCTGAACTGAAGTCGGACATCGACACTCAGTATTTCGACACCATGGACGAGGGAGACCAGGCCGAGACCTTTGCCACGCCCAGGGTAAGGGATTGTGAGTGAGTGTGTCTGTTTTGTAGAGCGAATCTTCCATGTGCAAGGTGCACAGAGTATGGTGTCTTTGAAGGGCATTCTCAACAGTGATAAGATAGCTACTATATAGCAGGGGAGAGGGGGTGGAAGGAGAGGAAAGAGGTGGGGTATATAGCAGGGGAGAGGGGGTGGAAGGAGAGGAAAGAGGGTGGGGTATATAGCAGGGGAGAGGGGGTGGAAGGAAAGGAAAGAGGGTGGGGTATATACAATAGGAAGGAGAGGAAAGAGGTGGGGTATATACAATAGGAAGGAGAGGAAAGAGGTGGGGTATATACAATGAAGGAAGAGGAGAGGAAAGAGGGTGGGGGTGGGGGGTATACAATAGGAAGGGGAGGGAAGAGGTGCGGGGTATATACAATATGGAAATGAGGTAAGAGGTGGGGTATGATACCAATAGGAAGGAGAGGAAAGAGGGTGGGGTATATACAATAGGAAGGAGAGGAAAGAGGTGGGGTATATACAATAGGAAGGGGAGGGAAGAGGTGGGGTATATACAATAGGAAGGAGAGGGAAGAGGTGGGGTATATACAATAGGAAGGAGAGGAAAGAGGTGGGGTATATACAATAGGAAGGGGAGGGAAGAGGGTGGGGTATATACAATAGGAAGGAGAGGAAAGAGGGTGGGGTATATACAATAGGAAGGGAGAGGGAAGAGGGTGGGGTATATACAATAGGAAGGAGAGGAAAGAGGTGGGGTATATACAATAGGAAGGGGAGGGAAGAAGAGGATAGAGGAAAGAGTACACAAGGTGTTTGTGGATCTCTGATAAGGAATTGCTGACATTTTCTGCATAACTCTGTGCCACGGAACCAATGAGGGGTTGCTATGGCAGCTGCCTCTGTTGTATAATATCACATTCTTTACATTCCTCACATTCCATTAACCACAAACACACACTCCTTCTTCAGGAGTTTGCTGGTAATCACCTTCCATTTGTTGGGTTCACTTACTCCAAAGGCCGTAGTCTCCTTGACAACCAGGGGGGTGGAGCCAAGACCACAGGAAGTGATGTAAGAATAATTGCAATAAGGTTAAACACATGCGTAGTGAGTTTGGTTTGTCTGTGTGAGGGTGTGTGTTAGCTTGTGTACGACTATTCTAGCACCAAAGTTAATACAATATCTGTATATACCATTGGTAACAATTTAGACTAGGAGGAATGTGTATACTCCGCAAATCTCATTGTTGTCCATTATTTTATTCATGATGATGATGTTCCATAACAGAAGGAGCTACAGAAGAAAGTGGACCAGTTGTCGTTGGAGAAGGTGTCCCTGGAGGAGGCTGTCAGTAAGGAAGTGGCCAAGAGAGAAGACACCGAGACTAAAGCCAGGTAATGAATGATGTAACCTTCATTTCTAACTGTACATTGTGAATGAGGGAGATGATGTAATCCTTCTTGATGGTCCAAGACTCTAAGTTTGCCGAAAAAGGTTTTTTGTCTATAATATTATACTTGGGGATCTGTATGTTCATCACCACCACAGGTCGACTGAGGAAGTATTGGTGAGGGTAAGGGCGGAGTTAGGGGCGGAGCTTGAGTCCAAGAGGAAGGCAGAGTCTCGCATCAGGACTCTCGAGTCTCAGGTCAGAGGTCAACTTTAACCTCTTAATTTGTAGGAAACTGTTGCATAATTATTATGCAGTCTGCTACTTTTTCTCTTGACCACTGCTAAGTGCATGCTTACACACGGCAATTTGCACACACATGTACCAAATCGTACAAGTTTTACGTTGCCATTGACCGCAATACAATTTTTGCACAAATGATGGTGTGTGTTGTGGTGTCCCAGGTGACCACTGAGAGGGAAGAAGTAGAGGAGATGACAAAGAAACTGGAGACTGAACAGAAGGAGAACAAGAAGGTTTGTAGTTGGGAATGGAGGGAGGGAACGTAGTAGAAACACACCACCATTGAAAAACTTTGGTTGTGTAAGGTTGTCAAGTCCCTGTGAGTTGTACAAGGTACTCCATTAACCCTCCCACCCTCCAGTTGAGGCTGGAGCTGTCGTCGGCCCTGACCTCAGCAGCAAGTGTGGCTGACAGCAAGAAGGCCAGGGAGCTGGAGGCACAGCTGGAGACCAAGACTGCCAGTCTCTCCTCTCTCAACAAGACTGTCCAGTCGCTCAAACAGGTTTGACTGGTTTTCAATTTGGAGTGCAGTGGACCCCTATCTAAAATGTGAAAACCTTTCTTTTTCTAGTCACATACTGTATTCAACCCCTGAAATAAGGCTCCTATTGCTGTTGATGTTTCAAAGTTCCTCTTCCCTTGCAGGAGCTGCTGGTAGAGAAGGGTGACAGAGATCAGCTGCAGTCAAGGCTGACGTCCCAACAGAAAGACCTCTCATCTCTAGAGAGGCAGCTGCATGAGGCTCGCACCGAGGTCGAGAAGATGAGGAAGATGAAGAAGACGGCAGAAGACAAACTCTCTGAACTAAACAGTTAGTTTTTCATAATGACAAGGGAGGTCTGCTATGGCATTGCATGCACCTGCCTCTAATGAGAGACATGTTTCTGAGACGTCGATTTAACCCTGTATGAGTAGGGGTGTGGTGCAGGGGTCAGCAGAGGTCCAGGTCAGGAGAAGCAGCGTCGTCTATGACTGTGAGATGGACTGAGATCGACTGAAGAGGTTCACCAGGCTCAAGAAATGATGCTCCCAGGTACAATACCCACTGTATGACTGACACCACCGACACCTCGGTGATATGCCATTCAGTAAAACTACACTGACAATATGATCATAAACCTGCATGGGGAAACAAGTGTGGAGTTCAAGTATGTATGGGACTAATATTACTTTAACTGGGACACACTGTATTGCAAGTGCTGTCCAGGAAGTCTGTGTATGCAAGTTGTGAACTCTGGTAGGGACCTTGTAGTGGACTGTGTGACCATGTGTAGAGGTTGGTCGTGTACCTTGTGGTAAACTTAAATCATAACAGGTCCACGGTGCGACATCTCCGCACTGAGTTTTATATCTATTTTCATCTGCCCTGCAGACTGGGACGAGAGAGAAGACCCGACTGATCTCTCTCTAGAACCCAACAGGACACACGATGACCTCAAGAGAATGGTGACAGGTCAAATATTCCTGTGGCCACACCGTCACTCGCCTGTTGCAGGTAGGATGATATGATGGGATCAGTGAAGGCAGTGCTCGCGAGCTGAAAACCTCTGACAGTAGAGCAGGAGGAAACTACTGTGAGAAGGGGTTAAACACACGGACCACAAGCTGCTAATGTGTTTCGCACATATCTGGCCTGCTGCAGTACTCTCTCCTCGTGACACTGCTTGCAGTGGAGGTCATGTGCCAGCCAGCTGTGATATTGTGTACAGAACTCCCTGGATGCACCCTGAACAAGGACAACTCTGGCACAGTGTCGGGAGGTTAAACCCCTGTGAAACAAGGACACCTCTGGCACGAGTGTCTGGCGGTTAAACCTGAACAAGGACACCTCTGCGCACAGCGTCTGAGTTACCCATCAAAACACGGGACACCTCTGGCACAGTGTCTGGAGGTAACCCTGCTGAACAAGGACACTCTGGCACAGTGTCTGGATTAGAGTAGTTGTCCCGCTAGACCTCCGCAAGCTCGAGACAGAGGCCCGCGGCGCACAAGGCTGCCGAGAGAGAGCGAGAAGGCGTGGAGTCTCAGCGTCTCTATGGCAACCCTGGATCTGAAGACAACCACAAGAGGAGGCGAGACAGAAGCAAGCAGGAGGTACCAGTCTCCAGACCAAGGTACATAGGAACAGGTGGGGAGGGTGCAGGTGGTTTCTGTATGGAATGTACATAAGACCTTAGTGTGCTACAGCTAAACCTTATGCTCTGTGGTTGCAAGTATGCACCTCACCTGATGTCCTCTCTCTGACTGTCTGTCTGCAGATGGCAAGCTCTCAGGTGCGTGGCGAGAGACGTCGTCTACAGAGTGCTGTGTCAGACAGTAAGAGGGACACTGAGAGCAGAGTCGAGGAGCTCCAGGCTATTGAACTCATTGTCTCGCACTCAACTTGCCAGCTCGGTTTGCCATCAAGTTATGAGTGTATTCAAATGCTTGATATGACTTGTCTTGGGGGGTGTGCGGGGGGTGTGGGGGGGGTGTGGTGGGTCTTTTGGTTTTTGGGGGGTGGTGTTGGTGGGGGGGGGTTGGCACCCATGTGATGTCACTGTGACTGTCAGGTGATGCCAGAGAGGGAGCTAATGGAGCAGTGAGCTCCACGACTGTCAGAGAAACATAGAAGCACAGACTGGAAGACACCATATGTCGCCTGAGATGAGTGAGGCGATGGCGATGGGGCCGCCACCTCCGTCTCTGTAGGCCATGGAGCTATTGGAGAGAGAGAAGAGAGAGAGAAGGAGACTGCCGTAAGTACACATTATACACAGCCAGTAAGTTGCTCTCACTCATAACGACTCAAAAGGCCGCTATGGCTAACATACAGTGTTTTAGACCTGTTATGATGGGCTAGTGCGTTTTAGATATCATGTGAGACTGATCGCCTCCCGCGTCCAGGCTGACAGCAAGGAACAGTGAACTGGAGCAGGCTACAAAGGCAGCATGTGAACTAGCCCAGAAAAACCAGACACCTGAGAAGGAAATCCCTACATTGTGGTTGCTTTCAGTTTGTGTGTAGGCGGTTATTATAGATACATACCAGGTTCTCGTGTAGCTGAAGGGTCGTGTATTTGCCATTTCTAAACCGCTGGCTTGTGCGTTATATGTGTTAGAATACCATAGACCTCACAGAGAACAGGATGTCCCACTTCACAGAGGACAGCTGAAGCAGTCGGTGGACTCCCGGCACAAGAAGCTCGGAGAAAGCCTTGATGGGAAAGACAGTGCCGAGCGATCGAAGCTGGCGGATATTTGAGAGGGAGAAGAAGATGATGAACTGGACATTCCGGAGCTTCTAGTGAGACACAATGTGACGTGACCGAGAGAATGTCAAGTTTGCCAGGTGAGTGATGGTCACATGATTATCACGTGACCTACTGTGATCCCCTTCTCTCCTGTTGTGTTAGTCTCTATGATCTCATGTGATGCAGCTGGCGAGGCGCTGTGCTGACTCAGCGAAAGTTGGCTCAAAATACGAACCCCGAACAACGATGTTTCCAGGGACATCTAAAACAGGCTCTCTCTACAACGTAAGACAACAACCATCGTTGCTCTACCTTACATTACAGTTCATTATATGTTCACTCATCCTCATATCAACCTGATGCAGTTTGAGGACCAAAAATACACTGTCACAAACGTTCCTGTGTAACCGTGTGGCATGTGCAGTAGTGGGGTCTTGTCACAAGTATACTAGACGAGAATCCTGCATTGAGATGACAGGTAGAGATGAGTGTCTGTTATACACCTGTCTCTCCCTATGCCAGAGCTGGAAGAGAGAGGGGGTCCCATGGGGAGGAGATACAAGACAAGATCACCTCTCTGGAAAAACGAAGTAAAGTTCATGGAGAGTCAAGAAGAACGAGGCATCAACAAACTAGCGCAGTGAGACCACACCCACAGATATACCTGCCTCTGGTTCACACTGTACTTTGTGCATAATGTTACGTCATTGTCCTCTTTAATAATTATTTCAACTTCTGCTGACTATCTGAGGGACGATCTAGTGATATGCACTGATGCAGATGGTGCAGTTTTCCTCTCGGATTTTGAGAGTAATGATTCATAGAGCTGTTATATGCCCGTTGAGCTAAAGAATTTTAATTACTGGTGTATCACTGTTTCAGTGATGCAGAACATTCCCACAAATAATTTATGCGAGTTACATAATGTAGCTACTTTCTTGTGTATGGAGACATGGTTGTAGTAGGTTAAACCTGAGCCGTCCCTCACACTGACCACAGGTTATGTTCTCAAGAACCCCTGACAAGAGGAGGCTCGAGCCAGCAAATCCTCTGGCAGCAGGAGACAGGACCGAGAGATCAGGAAGCTGAGGGGAGAGCTGCAACACGAGACTCAAATTCCAGAACATGGTCCGCAAATAACCAGAAGGAGCGGAGGATGTCTCTAATGTTAAGGCTGTAATGGATGTCAACTGTATGAGTAATGGTGATGCAATGGGATTTAATGCTCTGAAAATATGATGAGGAGCAGCAGTGCGACAGGATCTGCAGGTGAAGTTGAATTCAGAGCGAGCAGCAGCTAGCAACACTCAGGACTTCCTTCGGCAACGGACCTCACTATGGAGTCTGATAGACTCTCCTGCCCATAGCGACATTGTGTCTCCTAGTACGTGTCTCTCTATAGCCCTACTATGCACACATAAGAACACATGACCCAAGTTGTGTGTGGATGCGACAACAAGTCACAACGTGACACACAGTATCTTGTTTGGGTGTAGTTGTGGAGCGAGTGAGACGTGTCGACTTCAGATACCAAAATGGCCACAATCCTCGCAAACAGGAGGAAGAAGTGGTGAGTCTCTAGTGGTGAGTAAACCTCTGTAGTTCTGTCACAATTATGTACATTATAGGAGTAATGATGCTGTATAACTTCCACCAAAGCTCCACTCTTTGATGACATCACTATGATGTTAAACTGTCCCTGCAGTTCATGTGATGATGGTCATTACCAACAAGCAGCTGGCAGTGTATGAGATGAGGATTCTCTGCAGACCCCCAAAGACCCTTCATGGTCTACCAGTTCACAGTCAGATCTACACTGTGAGGATTGAACCCGGGGACAGAACAGAGATTCTGAAGAGTTAAACAGAGCGACCTCAAAAAAAGATCCTCATGGTGAGTGGCTCTCGGCTCATATTGGGTTAGTAATCTCTCCTGTCGGTTTAGTTGTCGTCATCGAGGATCGGAGGCTCAGCAGCTGTTGCACTGGACTCATCTACCGTGTCTACCTCCAAGCTGACCAGGGAGTGAGTTCCAACCACCCTCATTGTAATTACCATGACGTAATGGTGACATCACCCACCAGATAGTTGAACGACGGTGCGCGGTCACCAGTTTGTGCAGAATCAACTACCACACTCCGTCCAACTGTGAATGTCTGTAAGAACACTCTCCTTGGTCTCTTAAACATCATGAGACCGTCGGGAGTTAGATGCGGGGATTTGTGCTGGGGGGGGGTGAGCAGTCTTCCAGAGAAGCCTTGGAGTGGGGTCTGGGGGGGTGTGGGGGGGGGGGTGGGTGGGCTCAGTATGGATGGTCAGCGTAAGTCTCGTTTTGAAATTGAGGTATTTTACCATGAAAACGAATGATAACCCCCCCCCCCCCCCCCCAAACTATGGTAATCAAAGCGGACACGCACACTTGTAGTAGGCAGATGCCACAGTAATTGACTTCCTACCAGGCTGCCATCTGACTGTCACAAGGAGCACACTGATGAGGACGATGTGAGGCAGCAGCCTTGTGTTGAGGGGAGCAGAACATCAAGGACAAGATGCTTGCTCATAAAGACAGGTATATAGTAATACGAGCTCAACTATTACTGAAGTGTAGTCTAGGGTTTAGCTGCAGAGCCAGGACATGGTTGTGTGTATTAGTGTTACTGCGTAGAGTGATCAGACACTGTAGCCTCTTGTATCAGCATTCCTCAGTGAGCCCTTGTAGGCCTCAGCCATGAAAATGGCAAGTTTTTATTCACTCCAACTGTGTGGATGGGGATCAGCAACTGTTGCAGAGCATGAACAATTTGCTCCTTCCTCTTCCTCCAGTGAGAGACTTGAGCGTTGGGTATGGCAGTTGTTCAAGAATAACCCAAAACCTCCTCTTCATCTGACTCTGCCTCCCAAACCCTTCTGTGAGTATTAACATCATCTCTTACAAACCATACCTGATCCAATGCTTCCTTTTTAGTCGCAAAGAACAGTCGCAAGCAGTATGAGTTTCCAGGCAATAACCGTATTGTACCAATCATTTTTCGTGCAAACACCCAGTCTGCAGTGAGAGAAGCAACAATCCATCCAGCGTACAGCGGTCTGCCACAAACGGTAATCCAAACTCTTGATCACTTTCTCCACCTTGACCTCACACCAACATCGCATCGGAGGATGTAAAGTGGGCAATACATTTGGCCTCACATGACCTCACTTACCCCTACGTTTTAAGACCCATGGGACAGGCTGGTGCTACGGGGTGAAGGCAGCCCCCGAGCCATTTTATCAACACAACCTACTCCCCATGCGGCCTCTAGACCCGGACTGAGGAGCACCCAGTCCTCTCGGCTTCTGTAGCTCCCCTCCTAGTATGACCCTGCTGGGAGGACTATTGTCCGGTGGCTGTCTCTTCAGACGCCTAAGGTATTATATTCTCTACTGTCAATTTTTGTACGTCCTCTCTCTCCAAGTATCTCACTGGTTATATCGCCGAGAAGATATCCACACCACGGAGTTGGGGTCTGTCCTTATATGAACCTATCTAATTCTCCTAATATAGTTATGACCTACCAAAGGTTGATGGGTTTTGATAACTGATTTGATGTGGAGCTCCTATGCTTGACAGGGAGAGTGGTAAGGCTACTTGGGTGCTAACACAGAACGTGACAAAATATGGTGGCTGGAGACGTATTTTGCACATGGCTTTTCCCTTAAAGATCATGAATTATCTTGTATAAATCATCTGCCTAACCTTTCTTTCACTGCAGCTGGAACCACCCCAAATAGTGCTTTTTTGAACTTGCGCGTACATCGGTTAGCACTCTTCTTGTATGAATAGGAGCCCAACTCCAAGCTTTATCTGTTTTCGAAACTCACTCATCAGATCATACACAGATAAAACGATACTCTACTAACAACATGCCCTATTTGCTATAACAACTCGGCAGGTTGCATTTCTCCATGTCGTGTCTGTCTTGTCTGTTAATTGAAACACTCCTGTTCAGCACTATGTAACTGACTATGGAATCATGATGATGTAAACCATTCGTGTGGAGATGGCAAGATATTGTACAGGCGTGATTGCGACGACTAGGGGACATGCAGAAAAATTGTGCACTGTTGTGATTAGACGGGAGACATTGAGAAATATGCTCCATGTGATTGCGAGGAGACATGAGAAAATGTCATGTGGTTACTCCGAGGAGACATGAGAGGAAAGTCATGTGATCGAGGGCCGAAATGAGAAAATGTCATGGTTTTTATGTGCTGACTTTGCGGCTGTAGTGCATTGAGAAAATGTTACATGTGATTTGCCGTAGTTGTGCATGTGTAGAAATGTCAGGTGGCATTGACGAGGGCTTATGGGGAACAAGGTGGGGGGAACGAGAACAGAATGTTAATAATAGAGGGGTCTGTATTATGTAATTGCAAAATAACCACACTGGCCGATCCATCGGACGTTGCAGCTATCAAAACAAAACCAATAGACGAGATGGCGTCCTCATTGTGGTTTAAAGTACGAGTATGTAAATATGGCGACCAGGGTATCAACCCCTACCTATATACCAATTCTGGACTGACCAGGCTTACAAGACCATATTAATACGATACTTGAGAGGACGCAGGTAACCTATAACATGGTGGAGACAGGCTCAACCTATTTATTACATATGGCGACCAGGTCTTCAAATGTGAAACATATGTATATACATCTTATGGTGAACCAGGCTCAACCTATGTAGACAATGATGGCGACCTAGGCCTCATACTCTATTATTACATGTGGCTGGACCCAGGCGTCAACTTCATAAGTGTGCGACCAGGCTCAACCTAGTTATACAATATGGGCGACCAGGACAACTATTATACATTATGGCGACCAGGCTCTCCACCGTATTGATACATTATGGCGACCAGGCCTCTCAACTATATACAATGGCGACAGGTCAACCTATTATTACATAGGCGGACAAGGCTCCTCACCTATTATAACATTATGTGCGACAGGCTCAAATCCTTTATACATGTTTTGGCGACCAGGCTCAATAGCACGTATCGATAGCACTATGTGCGGACCAGGCTCAACTATTATACATAGTGCGACACGGCCTCACCTATATATACAATGGCGACCAGGCTCAACCTATTATACATAGGCGACCAGGTCATACCTATTAATCATTTATGGCTGACCCAGCTAAAAACCTATTGTTAGTACATGTGGCGACCAGGCTCAACGGGGATGTGCTTCTTCGCTTACGGAACTGGGGTAGTACTCGCGTCGATCAATTTCTTATTATAAATGTGGGCGCGACCAGGGGATCAACAGTATTCTTACATATGGCGACCAGGCGGTAACTATCGTATACAGATTTGGGACCAGGCTCTCAAACTATTTATACATGTGCAGCGACCAGGCTCAACATACAATATACAGTATGGCGATCCGAGGGCTCAAAAACATATCTAGACATATGGCGACCAGGCGATCAACCTATTATACATCTATGCGGTCTGAACAGGCTCCTAACCTATCTAAACATATGGCGACCAGGCTCAAACTATGGCATACATATGGCGACCAGGCGTCAACGCTTTATTACAATGTTGGCGACCGCAGGCTCAACACCATATGACTATGGCGACAGCTAAAACCTATTAAGCAGTGATGGAGACCCTGGTCAAACTAGTATACATTTGGCGACCAGGGCTCAAACCTATGTATAACTAGTGGCGACCGGGCTAAACCCTATTAACATATGGCGCGACAGGCTAACCTGAGGCTCAAACCTATGAACATATGTGCGACAAGGCTAAAAACATATTATACATTGGCGACCAGGTCACTATTATAAAGTGTG